AATATTATAAACTTGAAATATAAAAACATACAGTAAAAGGAATTCCAAGTGCACCTGTAAGAAAATCAGTTAGAGCTAAACTAAAAATATAAGCATTTGTAGGTGTTCTAATATGCTTTGACCGGAGATATACAAAAATAACTAAAAAGTTGCTTATTGCAATTTGTGCTGCTAGAAATAATTCAGCTGATGCATAGACAAACAAAAAGGTTTCTGTCATAATTTACTTGAAAAAAAATTAAATTTTAAATTTTATAAAAAAATCATGTATAATATTGTGACATCTTTCCAAATTTAATTTTTAAAGAAATTTTGCATTTGTGCAAACATAAAGAATCCCGCTTGGGGACACATACGTGTGTAAATTTAAAAATATTGAGGGTGTAAGAATATATTTACATATTTGCTACTGAATTTGTCAAGCATTTGAGGTATCTGTAATCTGCTCGCGTAATTAAACATATTATCCAGTGTAATTTGAGGAGAAAAATTTATTTATAATTAAAATCAAAACAAACAAATAAAAATAGATAAGGATTTTAATGATTTTCTTAGATACTATATAATAAGCTAGCTATTTTATATTTAACTTATTCGAAATTATATTAATAAAACTTTCCGGAGAATATAATAAAATTAGAGAGAGTTATACTAAATAATTAAACTTTCTGGAAAAGTATTAACATGTTCAGAGTTATTTTTTAAAAATAAACTTTCCGGAAAATGAGTATGACAAACTTAAGATATTTTTTAAAAACTTTCCGGAAAATATAATAAAATCGAGAGAGTTATACAAAACAATTAAACTTTCCGGAAAAGTATTCTATTAACATGTTGAGAGTTATTCTTTAAAAACAAACTTTCCGGAAAATAAATATGTATAACAAACCTTTGGTTATTTTTTCAAAAACTTTCCGGAAAATATAATAAAATCAGAGTTATAATGTACTAAACAATTCGACTTTCCGGAAAAGTATTAACATGAAAACTTTCCGGAAAATATAATAAACTTGGTAATAATATTTATAATTAACCTTCTATATTAACATTAACTAATGTCTTTACTAGTAATTTTTTGTTAATAAAATAACGCAAACAATTTTTAAGTAAATAATGACGTTAGGATAAAGGGGTGTCTATAAAGGGAAAAGAAAAAAAATCTTTAAGTTGCGCAAGTTGAAGGGGGAGAATTTACTTGGAGTAATATTTTTGTAAAAAGAACGGCACTTGAGAAAAAATAGAAATAATGTAAAAAAGAAGCTTAAACAGTCAAGATTAGTTGAATAATGCATTTAAAAAATATTTAAGAGTATCAAAAACCAAAATTTAATGGAAAAAGAAGCTATCATTTATTTTTGCTGATAATGTCTAAAAATTGCAAAATAAAAAAAGGGGAAAATAATAATTATAACACAAATAAAAATAGTTAAAGAAAATAAAGAGTATAATTTAATGATGAGTCATTTAATAAAGGTGCTTATTTGTATGCAATTTGGATAATAAAAGAAAAGCGTGAATAATGAAAAGGGCAAAAATGCTTAATAATAAGGTGAACATTTTTTTCCGGAAAATGTTTAATTTTCCGGAAAGTTTATTTAATATAATGCGAGTAGGAAAATAACTCTAAAATATCAATAGATCAAGTTTATTTATATTCTTAGAAAAATAAACTTTATTATAATACAAAACAAGTTTATTTTGAAAACAAAGTTGCAATAATACTATGAGAAAATATAAATAATAAGCTTGCAATACTACAATTGTTTTTTATGTAGTAAATAAGTTTGAAAAAAGTTGGGAAACAAGTTGGAGAAAAGGTTGGAAGAAAAAGTTGGAAAACAGGTTTCTAAAAAAAGTTGGTAAAAAAGTTGTTAATATCTATTAATAAACTTAAGCATGCTAATATATTCTTTAGTTTTTCAAGTTTACAAACTTGCTCTTTCATTACCAAAAAACAAAAGGCTAAAATAACACTAAATTTAAACAAACAAAAAGAATAAATAAATAATCTCTAAGTTTTAGGCTAAATATTTTGTGTATATTATACAAAAGCATTAAAAAAATAATTTTGCAGCATTCCCTGGAAATTATATATTTAATTACTGCTATAATAAAAAAACAAGTTTATTTTTTGAATTTAGTTCTTTGTTGTCTGTAGCAGTTTATTTACAGGGTGACTCAAAAGTCTTTGCCCGCACATTTTTCATCATAACTTTATTAAAACTTAATCAAATAATATAAAAATACAATCAAATAATAGAGAATTAAATGGATAACAAAATGTATCAGGATTTTTCGAAATACCTCTCTTTGGGTTTAAGATAGAGGCGCAGACGCAAGCAAAAATTTTTGCAAAATTGCCGCACCTATTATGGTGTAATTTTTTCCCATTTCTGAACGAGTGATAGTCGGAGTGACTCCAAACTTTGGGGTTATTAAGCAAAGAACGTTTCCTCCAAAATTGACCAAAAAGATAAATCCACGGATTCAAACCCGGTGTGTACGGTAGCCATTTTTGAGGCACACTAAAACCGAGAAAATTGGCAACAAGACAACCTTGCATCACTTTAGCCTTATAATCATAGGATGAATTCTACTTATAGATCTAGTCCCTATACCAAAAGTTTTCCCAGACCCAGTGCTCTAAAACATACTGAAGGATTTCGAGTAGATCAAAGTATTTATTTATTTTGACCCAAGGATTCATAAAAATCAAGGAATTTTGATCGTTTTGCAAATAACAGTCCATATCATTTCGAGGGAAGGGTTTTGGAAATCCTTAACAACTGGATAAGAAAGAGGAGATTTTGAGGCCCAATATCAGTCATCTTTGCGATTCGCACATTTCTCTTTCATAAAAATTTTGGCATCTGAAAAGAGGAACCAAGGAGGTGCGGCAATTTTGCAAAAATTTTTGCTTGCGTCTGCGCCTCTATCTTAAACCCAAAGAGAGGTATCTCGAAAAATCCTGATACATTTTGTTCTCCATTTAATTCTCTATTATTTGCTTGTATTTTTATATTATTTGATTAAGTTTTAATAAAGTTATGATGAAAAATGTGCGGGCAAAGACTTTTGAGTCACCCTGTATAAGGACAAAAAAAGTTTTTTGATATAAAAAGTTAATTAAGAGACAGACGGAGTGCATGACCTAATGAGCTTTATTTTTTCATAACTTTTGAATAGATAAACGGATTAAATTGATCTTTGAACCATTCGATAGAGAATTAAATTCTCTACAAAATATGTTAAAATCATAATTTTTGGGTATGATATAGAAAAGTTATGGTCAAAAAACTGCAAAATATAAGCAAAATGCCTAGTTTTTTGGACCTAACTTTTTTAATTCTGAACTAAAATTTTTAATTTACCTCCTATTTTGTAGAGAATTTAATTTTCTATCTAAAACTCCAAAGTTTGTTTAAAAAAATTAATCGAGTCAATAGCTATATATTTTTAAATTCATGTGGTCTACCACACCAACTACCTCCTACAAAAAGAGGAAATTGTTTTTAATGTTCTTTTATCTTAAAAGAACTAAAAAGGAAAAATAACCCTTTTACTTCAGCCAATTTAATTAACTTTTTTCTGCATTATTTCATTTGCTGACAGCTTTTGAAAAGAAAATTACTGCTTTAGTTAATCAAATGTTTGATTGACTATTTAATAAAAAATATTTTTTATAAGACCAAAAATAATTGGAAAATTAACAAAGGAAGGAAAAGCACGCAAAATATAAAAATTTATTTCCAATTGAGGGTAAAAATCGGATAATTTTTTTGAAAATAATTTCTAAAATTAGAAAATCTAATTTTTAAATTTTTAAAACAATTAAATTAATACATGCACGAATATACGAATAAAAAATAAAAATTGAATAGAGAGAAAATTTAAAAAATTTTAAGAAAAAATTTTTTTAATAATTTGAATTTAATAAGAACAATGTTCAGACAATTTTATAAAATTAAAAAAAAAATTTTTTTAATTAATTAAATTTTTAAACTATTTGAATTAATTGTTGGCTTAAAATGACTACAACTACAAGCTCAAAAATACAATAAAATTAAATTTATTAAAAACGTCTACAAAAAATTTAAATTAAAATATCAGACATAGTATGTCTAGCATTAATTTTCGCCCCAGCCAAAATAAAAAAAATTTTTTTTGAAAAAAATTTTTTTTCTTGAAAAAATCGTTAACTTACTTGTTTCTTTACCTTCTGGATTGTTTACTTAAAACAAAAATATTCCCATCTTTTTTTAAAAATAAAAATTTTAAAATTCCTCACATGATATTCATATAGAAATTGTAATATTTATATTTACAAATAAATATTTAAATAAAAATTCATATTTATTTATGACCATGGGAAAACAAATACATATTAAATATTGCGGAATAACGATAAAAGTCATTTAAATACAAATAAAATATCAAGTTTGTAAACTTTAGTTTCTTAAATATTAAACTTTTGTTTACAATACAATGTTTGTTTTGATATTCAAGTTTATTCTAATAAAACTTAATGTTTCTAAGTTTTATTTCAAGTTTGTAAAGTTTTACAAACAAGTTTATTTAATATTCTCAAGTTTGTTTTATAAAAAACAAGTTTATTTAACAAAAACAAGTTTAATTATTAATCAAGTTTAGTTTTATAAACTTGATTTTTATTTAAAGTTTTAATCAAAGTTTTATTTATTTGTAAACTTAAGTTTTTTATATAAACCAAGTTTATTTAATAAAAACAAGTTTAATTACTAGTCAAGTTTAATTTCATAAACTTGATTTTTATTTAAAGTTTGTATAAAATATCTCTTAATGTTATTTTCAAGTCACGACATGTTGTTCTATTAAGGTTTATTTAAAATAAACAAAAATATAATTGTAAAAATATAAAAAGGAATATAAAATGAGTAAAGCATAATTGTAAATTATATTTACATACACATAATTTTTATTTTTCAAGTTTGCGAAATGTTAAAATTGTAATTTAATTATTTTCAAGTTGCTAAACCCTCATATAAACTAAGGGCGTGTACAATACTGGGATCTGCCTTGGCGCCTTCCTTGAATTCTTCAAGTGTTAATTGTTCGTCATTATTCTTAAAAATTTTTAATTGAAAAAAATATTTTATTATCAGAAAACTATTTTTTATCAATTAATGACCTTATCCATCATAGCAAATATTCTTTCCACTCGCTTTTCAGGGCTATTGTCTTCATCGGATAATCTGACCGAGTCTCCTACCATTCTATTTATTGAACTAACAATTGATTCTTAAACAAATTTAATTTAAAATCCTTCCAAAAAATTTAATTTTTTACCCATTTCCTGTCTAGAAATAAATCCATCCCCGTCCAAATCGTACAATTTAAATGCCCATTGCAATTTTTCGTCCAAATTTCCACGACTTGTGATAGATAAGGCTTTAATAAACTCGTGGAATTCAATTGCTCCGTCCTTTATAATTATTTTAAAAATTATTTTTTCTATTAAATATTACTTTATTTTCATCAAAAACTTTAAAAACATAAGCTGCAAAATCAGACGGATCTCCTTGTGGAAAAAATTGTTTATATATTTTTTGGAAACCCTGAAAGTTTGAATTAAATTTTAAATTAGATTTTAATTTAATTTAAATTTTACAATTTCTGTAAGCATTCCATTTGGACAATCCCTTACAAATCCTTTGTGCCATTGCTTTATTTCTTTTTCTGTGACTAAAATAAGTTTTTAAAGTTTATGTTATATAAAAAGTTTATTTAAATAAAATGGATGTTTTTAAGTTCACAAACTTGTTTTAATAAACTTCTAAGTTCTAAAGCTTACAAACTTACTCTTAAGTTTCAAAGTGTAAGCTTACAAACTTTATTATTTTACTAAACTAAGTTTTCCAAGTTTTAAGTTCACAAACTTATTTTTAATTAAAATTGTTTTCAACTTTAAAGTTTATAAACTTAATTTATTTTAATAAACTTAAGTTTGCAAGTTTTAAGTTTCCAAGTTTTAAGTTGACCAACTTCTTTTGTTTTAATAAACTTACAAGTTATAAAACTTACAAACCTATTCTTAAGTTTCCAAGTGTACGCTTACAACCTTTTTTATTTTAGTAAGCTTAGTTTTCTAGGTTTTAAGTTTGCAAACTTTTTATAAATAAAACTAATAAAAATTACAATAAGTTTGTTTAGAGAGTCTTTTCACATCATCACCTTTCAGTTTACTTTGAGGTTTGGCCATATCAGCACCCATTTTTTATGTTATTTGAATTTAAGTGTTGTAATAAATATTATAGCAATCAAAAGAATAAACCGTTAAAGGCTGTTTTTAATTTCTAAAATAAAATTAAATTAAATTTTTCTATAAATGCAAGAAATAATATAAAAATTAATTAATGCAAAGTTTTTAAGCTTTTAAAATTTTCTCATACTAAATTAAATTTCAATAGAAAAAAAATTAATTTTTTCTTTAAAATATTTTCTAAAAATAATTCAAAAATGGAAATCCTAATATTTAATTTTTGAGGCAATTTTTGGATTAATCCCTTAGGGGATAAATAAAATTAAAATAGAAAAAGACAAAATTATTTTAGAAATAATGTTTAAAATTGGTAAAAAGAAAGAGGATTAAGTTCACAAATGTGGATAATTAAAAATTGTTTCAAGTTTGTAAAATAATTAATATTCAAGTTTGTGTATTACAAACTACAAAATTTTAGTTAAGTTAACTTAAAGTTTACAAAATATAAAACTCAAAACATCAAGTTATTTTCAAGTTACTTGATGTTTATATAATGAACTTGATGTTTATAAAATAAAACTTGTTTTCAAACATCAAGTTTATAAAAATGAACCTGAAGTTTGCAAAATAAAACTTAGAAGTTTGATCTTGATGTTTATAAAAATAAACTTGTTTTCAAACAAGTTTAAAAATAAACTTGATGTTTATAAATAAACTTGTTTTTAAACATCAAGTTTACAAGTTTGAATTTGATGTTTATAAAATAAACTTGTTTATAAAGATTGTTTATATTTAAAAAAATATATTTAAAAAATAAGAAAAAAATAAAATAAACAAACACGCCAAAAAATATACATAAAAGAATAATAAAAAAATAAAAAAGACGCCTCATTCTATTTTCTTTCATTTTTAATTAGCATATAGAGCTAAAGCAATATATTCTCAATGTTAAAAAACAAAAAAAACTTTCTTAAGAATTGAATTGTTGGCAAAAAAAGTAAAAATAAACCTAAAAGATTTACATGTTTCTAATGTTCCAATAGTTTTATAAACAGATTATAAATAGATTTTTTGTTTTTGGTAATTTAATATTTATTGACTTTATTTTTTTAAACTTTTGTTGTCTGTGTGTTTAGGATCTCTAAAAAATTGTTTGGTCACGTTTATTTAAATAAAGTTAAATAAATTTAAGTTTGCGATAATAAACATGTTTTAATTAAATAAACTTATTTAAAGTTTGTGAACTTAAATAAACTTGATATTTCAAGTTTATTTTACAATTAGTTTTAGACTAAAAAACTTGATGTTTTAAGTTTGTAATATTTAAAATGTTTATTCAAATAAACAAGTTTTAATTAAATAAACTTATTCTTAAGTTTGCAAATGTTTACTTAAATAAACTTGGTCTTAAGTTTGTGATATGTAAGATGTTTTTCAAATAAACTTTTTTTAAGTTTGCGAATGTTTACTTAAATAAACTTGATGTTTTAAGTTTTGTTTTTATTGTTTTTGTAAAGTTTGTTTAAATTAAACTTAAATAAACTTCATGCTATTTAAAAATGTTTAATTAGAAATGATGTTTAAGTTTGTAATTTAAAAATCTGTTTATTTCAACAAACTTAATGTTTTTAAATATTACATACATATTTGTACTAAATATTCCACGAATATATAAATATTTCATTTTCTTGTGGGTTTTCTTTACTTTAGTATGCTTTTTAAAAATTCTAGGAGTGTGTGTATTATAAATAATGAATAAAAAAATAATAATTTGACGTGGAAAGAATTGAGGAAATGGAAAATCAAAAAATAAAAAAGAAATTTCAAATAAAAAATAGATAAAATAGAATTAAAAAGTCTGGGGATAAAAATAAAAATTGATTAAAAAATTATTAAAAATGCCCAATTAATTTATTGGACTTTGCTGGGAAAACGAAGATGCTAATTAAAATCTTCTCTCATTCTCACAAGACAAGCTAACTTTAGTTTAATTCTTATTACCAGCTAACTAAAAAATATTAAATTATACTTTTGGTACCATTCGATAGAGAATTAAATTGGCTACAAAATAAATTAAAAATCAAAATTAGAAAAAAATTATAAAAAAAAGTTAAGTTCAAATAACTAAAATTATATCAACAAAAATGACAATTTTTGTCAATTTTTCGATAATAATTTTTATCAAATATAAATAAAATGCAGGTTATTATTATTTATTTTGTAGCAAATTTAATTCTCTATCAGTTGATAACCATTTGCAACAAGTTAATTTATTCAAAAAATTTATATACTAGGGAAATTAACGTAGGTAAATGGCATAAATATTAAAATTATTTCATCATAATTATTGAAAAAAAATTTTTTTGATGATGGGTATAATAAGTGGGGTAGAAAAACTTGATAAAATAAAATAGAGAATTGAATAAGAATGATAAAAAAAATTTAAAAAATTTTGAAAAAAATTTTTATAATTAAAATTAATATTTTAAGGCATAAATGAACAACTTTCAGAAGGTTTTTTGACTATAACTTATTTTAAATCAACCCCAAATTTTTTTATTTTAATCCTATTTTATAGCCAATTTAATTCTCTATCGAATGATACCAAATTTAAAATAAAAAAGTTTATTTTAATTATAAATATAAATTCGGAAATGAAGCATGTCATCACTTAAAATTTGTCTTTTATTTTAATCTTTTTAAGAAAAAAAATTTTTTGAAGAGGAACAAATCCCCCTTTACTCTCGTGTGGTTGAATGTCACCGTTTGAACACAAAATGTCCATCAAAACTTTTCTTTCTTCCCTTCCCATGAGAGAAAAGAAGGAAATGTGAAGGGTGGCTGTTTAAGTGGATATTGGTAACAAGTAAAAGTAATATATATTTTTAGAGTTGAGTAAAAGCGCTAAATTGAGTGAAAAGAACGATTGGTTGACAGCCGCCTGTTTCTTTCTTTTTTTAATTTTTAAAGAAACTAAAAAGAAAATAGGGGATAGATATCCAAGTCTCAGGGAATCTTTAAAGGCCTTTTTCCGAGTTTTTAGTCTCTAGGCAGTTAGAACCTAAAAAGACCTGGGGATCTCTTAGCCTCTTTAATCTTTCAGGATTCTCAAGTTTCATTTCAGTCTGTATCTTGTTATCAAGGTTATTATTTCAGCTTTTTGGGTCATGTTCCAGGTTAAGGATATTACTGAAATTTAGGATTATTGACGACAGGTTAATTTTTCCCCTTGGCGGTTCAAATAATGAAGAAGAGCAATTGAGCCGCCATAGGGAAAAATTACCTGTCGCCAACACCTCGACAGAAACCCCTTGAAAATTTAAAACCGACTGACATTATTTGAAGCCAAAATAGCAACTATGTAAGTACTTTTTGCACTTAGGAGTCCTTAAGAGTCACTTAGGAGTCCTTAACTTGTTGCACTTAGGAGTCCTTAAAGTTAAACAGTCAGGATTATATAGCTAGCTGAAACAGTCCGAATTATTAAATCTGAAATAGTCTAAGAAATACACATATTTTTAAATAAACTAATAACTAAATTCTCATTTGTCTACACCGCGTGACGTAATATGAAGAGTTTCAAGTTTTGACAGTTGGGAAAAGGAAGAAATAATTTTTTAAATTTTATAAAATGTCTTTTAAAAATATAAGGGTAAACTTGAAATAAATTGAAAAAGAAATTAATTTTTATAAGGCTAAAATAGGGATTAAAAGAGAAAACAAAAGTTGTTGCCAAAATTTGATGGAACAGTTGCCAAAAAAATTTTCTCGAATTATTTTTGGAAATATTCCAAGGAAATTTAAGTTAATTGATGGGAGGATTTTTTGGTGACTTTATGGTGACTTTTTTAGAATTTTTTTTAATTTTCTAATTTTGGAAGGAAAAAGAAACATAGGGAAAATTAGGGAAAAATAGAAAAATTAAATTAATTAAAATTTTATTTCTATTAAAAAATATTTTTAGAAAAATAATTTATCAATTAATTTTCTAAAATAGCAATAAATTATGGAATGTTGATAAAATAAAAATTGATAAAAAAAATTAGAAAAATTAAAAAAAATATTTATTTTAATTTTAAAAGCAAATATGTAAATATTTAAATTTAAATGTAAAAACGAGACATAAATTTTAAATAAATTTAAATAAAATAAAAAAAATATTAAAAATTAAAAAAAATTTTTTTTGATAAATTGAAATTCAAAATATCATACGACTGGAATATTCACCCTTTTTAAAATAAAATTCAAAGGCTAAAGACGTATGAAAAAGCCTTTTCCGGAAACTAAATTTAATGAGGAATAAGAGGAAATGTTGTAAGAGAAGGATGAAAAATACTAGCAGCATTTTTTAGCATTATTATTTTTTAGCATTATTATTTGTAAATAATTTTTTCCAAAAAGGAAACAACTAATGGCCTTGTATTATAATTAGATTTTAGAATGATGCTTCATCTTTTAGAAGTTGGAAAAGAAAAAGTAAAGTTTTGAAAGAAAAATTCGCAAAATTGTAATTAGCGTGCTATATTATTTAATAATTAAACAAGTTTTCCGGAAACTTAAGTTTAGTTTATTTATTAAACCTGTTTTCCGGAAACTTACAAGTTTTCCGGAAACTTAAGTTTGGTATATTTATTAAGTTTTTCCGGAAACTTACAAGTTTTCCGGAAACTTAAGTTTAGTTTATTTATTTAGCAAACTTAACTCTTGTAAAACTAATAAACTTAAGCTTGTATATTTTTTTCCGGAAACTTAAGCATGTTTACTTAATCACTAAATATGATGGAAACAAACAGTAAACATGTTTTCCGGAAACAAATTTAAGGTTTATAAATTAATTAAAAAACTTAAGTTTAAAGTTTATTTAATGAACTTAACTCTCATATAAACTTAAGTTTATATTTTACTTAAATATTTTTCTTTTCCGGAAACTTAAGTTTTCAAATAATATCCTCAAAAATTAACAATTTTATTAAAACCAAAATAAACGCATTCATAAAGAGATTATAATGCCAAAAAATTTAAATAAAATAATTAAATTAAAAAATTAATTAAAATAATTTAATTGTAATAATTTAAATATTCTTAAGTCCGCTTTGTAATAATTTTCTTCCGATTATTAATATTCTCCATTTTTGGAACACAAGACGACTGAATTTGTTCTAAAATTTTTTCAACAGTTGTGGTTGAACTATTACTGCTACTAGTTGTTGGCATGTTAGCCTGAGATTTGGACCCACTGTTTGGTTTCTTATTAATCCCCTCCTTTTTTGAATTATTAGCCTTTTTTCTTTTGTCACCAGCAAATGTCTTTTGAGCTGCAATAACTCCCATTTGATTCATTAAAGCTTGAATAGAACAAAGGTTATTAATAAAGTATCAATTTATTTATTTACCCTCCCCATAAAATTCAGCTCGACTATCCCGCAAAATTTGCGAATATTTCATATAATTGTTCTCGAATTGGGAGAAGTCGCTTTGATGAAAACTGATCATGTGCTTCTTTGGAGCTGTCTCATTTACATAATAAAAGTCCTTTGGACAAGCTAAACACTTGAATATAGGCAGCATTAAATGACTGAAAAAACTTAAATTTTTATTTAAACCCCCTCTCATTTTACCGAGTGTTTATATGATAAAGAAGACAAATAGCTCTTCCTTTAACCCACTCCCCACATTTTAAGCATTGCACGGGGGCGAAATTATCGTCGTGTTTTCTTCCAAGTTTCATATTTACTAAATCCTCCTTTCCCCAAAGCGCTTCAGCATTGTTAACAGCAATTTCTTCATCACCATCCTCATCATCTATATCTATTATTTCTGGATCATCAGGCATCTATAAATTATATTGTAAATATTTTATAAGGATAGTTTTAAAAAACGGTCACAAAAACTTAAGTTTCCGGAAAAAAATAAGGATAAGTTTAAATATTTTTATGAGAACTAAGTCTGCCAAATTAAATAAACCTCTAAACTTAAGTTTCCGGAAAACATTTTAAATGCTTAAGTTTCCGTTATATTTTCAGGAAACATGATATTCCGGAAAATAAAATATGCAATAAAAACTCAAGTTTGTAGAGCCCCTATGAGAGTTAAGTTTATAAACTTAAGTTTCCGGAAAAATAGTAAGTATAAACTTAACTCTTATAAAACTTTATAAACTTAAGTTTATACTTGTTATTTTTCTTTTCCGGAAACTTAAGTTCAAATACCTTATAAACTTAAGTATGCTCAATTAAATAAACTTCTAAAACACTTAAGTTTCCGAAAAATGATATGTTTGCATGTATACAAATTTAATTTAATAAAACAACCCTACCATACACTCATTGCTATTTAACGTCTCTGTGTGAGATGAAGAACTACTTCCATTTGTAGAAACACCTGTTCTTATTTGTTCATTTTGTGATTGAGAAACTTCAGAAATTGCATTTTTTATACGAACTACAACATTTTGCATTTGTTCTCTCAGAGGTTCGGAATTTTTAGGTTTTGGAATTGGTTGAGATTCTGTTGTTCTTTGTGGAGTTGGATTTTTTGTTGGATTATTAGCAGAGAACTCGTTAATTCTACAATTTTAATTTCGATTGAAAATAATTGTAAAATATTAAAAAAAGATTAAATAAATTACAAACTTAAGTTTTAAGCATAAGCTTAGTCCTAATAAAAAAATTAATTCAATTTTTAAAACACGGCCAAGTTTTATATTTGTTAAAACTTGATAATTCAAGTGTAATCTTAAATTTTATAAACTTAAGTTTGAAACATAAACTTAGTCCTAATAATTTACTCAATTTGTAAAACTTCGCCAAGTTTTATATTTATTAAAACTTATTCAAGTGTGATCTTAAATTATTCAAGTGCAATCTTAAGTTTCAAACAAAAAAAAATTAAATAAACTACAAACTTAAGTGTAAGCTTTATTTTAATAAAACTTGATTTATTAAAATTTAATATAATTCAAGCTTAATCTTAAATTCTGAACTAAACAAATTAAACTATAAACTTAAGCGTAAGCAGTTTTAATAAAACTTAGTTTGTAAAACATTTATATTACGATTGTAATCTTAAGTTTTAAAAACAAATTATAAATAAACCAACAAACTTACAAATGTTCAGATTTCATTATAGCAGTTGTTGTTGCTCTAATTAATTGTTGTTGTATTAAAGATGTTTGTTTTGACAATAATTCTTCTCTGTTCGCATTATTTTGTTGTGTTTGTAGCGTTTGTTGTGATGTTGTTTCGGAATTATTTTTATGTTGTGATGAAGTTTCATCTTCTTTTGAACTAGCCAACTTTCTTTTAAGAACATTGTCCAAACCCCCATTGCGTTCACCATAATCACAATCATTGTAAATGAAACGGCAAACTCTGTCCATATAAGGATTTCGCAAAATCTTTGAAAAAATTTTTTTAGAAAATTATTTTTAAGTATATCGTGCATATATATTCGAATAATTAACCTAATCTAGATAATGACCCTTAAGAATAATTACTCCCTCCCTCACTCTCATCCCTCTCCAGCAAGAGGTTGAAACAATAATACCCTCCCCCAATAATACCCTCCCCTCCAATGCACGTTCAAAGGTCTGAACTCTAATAATTACCCCTCTCTAATAATTGCTCCAACTAGCGAGAACTGAGGGTACTTATTCAAGGAAGGTACTTAAACAGACTAGGACACGGATACTGATTTTGGTATCCGTATCCGAATATTTACGGCGGATACAGACTGATATCCGCCGCATTTTTATAATATCTGTATCCATATCCTTACCCATGTCCTAGTCTGTATTTAATTATATTTACATGAAATTGTGCTGTATGTCCATTATTAGCTGCCTCGTGGTCAGCCATCTCTTCAGGCGTAACCGAAGTAAAATCACACTCCAAACATTTGTGTTGTTTATAATTTAAATGTTCCGAAATATGAGACAAGAACGAATTTTTTGGTTGGACTTGACCGCAAATAAGACAAGCCATTACTTTATTTGCAGTCGCAATAGAATAAACACTCATTTTTTAAAATTGGTAGACTCTAAGGGATTTAAAATTGTATAACTTTTGGTTAGATAGAGATTAAAAAATAAATTTTAGATTGAAAGAAAGAGGAGAGTTTGGGCTACAAAATAGCAAAAGATTAAATTTTTAGATTAACTTAACTAAAAGTTATGGATTTTTAAAAAGAAGTAGGTCAGAATTTCGAAGATATTCTTTAATGTAGTGAAATATACTCTTATATTTATTAAAGGAATAAACGTGAATGTTTATACTCAAATACTAATTTAACAGTAAATGCACTAGCCTTGGGTTTCTATTTTCAATGTCCCCTTGAATGAGCTTATACATTAGTGATGTTCGGGTATCCCGACTCCCGACACCCGACTCGGGAAATTTCCCGAGTTTTTGGCCTCCCGATCCCGACCCCGACTCCCGATGGCAATTCCCGACTAAGTCGGGAAATTTTTACACCCCTAAGAATGGCTTTTTCTGATAAAATTTTATTTTTGAAGGGAAAAAATAAAGAGAAAAAATAAAAAAAGGGAAAATAAAATATTTAATTTTTTTCCCTGACAACTATTGTTGAGAGGTGGTCGAGTGGTTAAGTTGAGTGCCTAAGTTACTTTGATTGGTCTAGGTTCGAATCCGGGTTTGGAGTATTTTATTTAAATAATTTTTCCATCCAAAAATAAATGGTTTTTAACATTTATTTTGATATTAAAATTTTACAATTATTTTTTTCTATATTATAAACGTCAAAAAACTGTAGAAAAATTAATTTTGTCATGAATTTTCAAAAATTTTCGCCTGCGGCGCAGAAAATCGAAGAAATCATTACAAATTTTTCTAAATTTTGCTTGCAGCGCAGAAAATAAAGAATATCAGAGCTCTTAGCCTTGCAAAATTCTCAAAATTTTCGCCTGCGGCGCTGAAAAATGAAGAAATATGCCTTCTTGGCCATCCAAAATTCTCAAAATTTTTGCCTGCGGCGCTGAGAGATTAAAAATTTGTCTTCTTGGTCTTCCAAATTTAAAAAATTTTCGCCTGCGGCGCAGAAAAAGGATGAATCTAGCTCCTTGTCTTTCCAATTCTCAAAATTTTCGCCCCCGGCGTTGAAAATGGAAGAAATTTTACAGCTTGGCCTTCAAAAATTTCGCCTGCGGCGCTAATAAGGAAGATGTCTGGCCTCTTGACCTTCCAAAATTCTCATAATTTTCCCTTGCAATGCAAAAAACCGGAATTTTTGGCGCCGAAGGCGCCAAAAATTTTTTTATTGTAAATTCCCGACCCCCGATCCCGACTCCCGAGGTCATTTCCCGACCCGACTCCCGTTTCCCGATTCCCGAGTTTTTTCTTCTCCCGAACATCACTATTATACATATTATAGATTAAAGATTCAGCTTATAAATATTTTCAATGGATCTCCTCGGATGGGCTCATATTAGAGCATTTATGGGTATTTAGATTTATATCGAGATTTAGAGTTATACCAGATCGAAGTTTAGAGTTATACCAGTTTCAGTTACCTATTTAATCTTCAAAAGAGCATTATACCTAATTATCTATAAAGCAAAACAAGGAGATAGAATGAACTAAATTTTAGAGTTGCTTCAACTAATTACTAAAAATTTAATTATTTAAAAAAATATGAAGTAAACAAGTTAACTTTACTACTATTTAATAGTAGAATAACGACCGGAGTAACGAATATAACGAAGGAAAGTAAACGCTATGGAGAATAATAAAATAAAAATCGATGTTTATATACATAGACGCTCATAGATTTTATAAAACTAAATGTATAATAAAATAGCGAGATGGGGAATAAATATAAGAAGTGTTTAGAGAAAGAAACGAATTTTATAAAAATATAATACAGGTATAGTAGAGTCTAATATGAATAATATAAAATATTTAAATCAATAATAGATAGAATGCTGTAGAGTTATAGCTGTAAAGTTCTAAGCTCTAGAGTTATAGTAGAGTTATACATAAGTTCTAGAGTAAGCTTAAAAATGTTCAATTGTAAACTTAAGTTATAAAAAAATAAACTTTATTTAAATTTTACTTAATTAGTAAAATTGTAAAAGTTGTAAAAAAAGTTTTACAAATTGTAAAATTTGTAAAAAAAGTTTTACAAATTGTAAAATTTGTAAAAAAAGTTTTACAAATTGTAAAATTTGTAAAACTCAAGTTGTAAATTTGTAAACTTAAGTAATTATAGAAAAATAAACTTTATTTAAATAAAACTCAAGTTGTAAAACTTAACAATTAAATTGTAAACTTAAATTTTAAAAATTACAACTTAACTCAATTTTTAAAACTTGTTTTTCTAACCTATTAAAATGTAAACTTTTGTTGAAAACTTAAAAATTACAAATATTATATTTTGCAATTTCTATGTAAATTTTAACTCTAAAAATAACAAAAAAATATTAAAAAAATTTTTATAAAAAGTGAATAAAGGTTAAAGTGAGAATATGTATTTATAAAAATATTTTAGAAAAAGAAAATAATTTATTTAAAATATAAGCATAGTAGAGTATATATAGTCTTTATCTTCACTTTCCAATAACACCCTTTGCATATACAATAGTCATTTTATCGTGTAATAATTCCAGATCCTTTTGAATACCTTCAATTTGCTTTAGATTCTGTTCTTCAATATCATTTAATATTTTTTTGGATAATTCACAATTTTTATTTTTCTCTTTTGTTTTAACTTTTACAAATGAAACACCTTTAAATTAAAAAATAATGTTTATTTTGGCATACTTTAATTTTATAATTATATTAAGTTATTTTACAGACCTGAATAAATTTAAATAAACTTTAAAGTTAAACAGTTTTTCACACCCTATTTTATTTCGCAAACTTAAGTTTATCGATTGAAAAAATTTTTTTCTTGAGCTTGGCTAAACAATATTATTCCCTATGTGTTTACTAAGCTCCTCTAATATACTAAATAAATTTAAAAAAGATTTTTTATTTTTAATTAATAAAATTTTTTAAAACAAACCAAATAAATCCTCTCCTTTTAATCTTTCCCCTCTTTGCAATTTTTCTGTTGTGTGGATTAATTGCTTTATTTTTTGCCGACACTCTTTTAATTTCCCTTGAACTTTAATTTGTTTAGTTTCTCTTAAACATCCTTCATTTATTATTCCTTTTAATGATGAGCTTATACCGGAACTGCTATCGGCTGAAGTAGAATAAATTTTTGGAGAGGGAAAATCCACAAATGGGGATTGAACTGAAATGAATGTTTATTTTGAGTCTAAAACTTGTTTACAATTAATGTATTCCGGAAACTTAAGTTTTTAAGTTTCTAGCCTAGAACCTTCTGTCTACACTTAATGTATTCCGGAAACTTAAGTTTTTAAGCATTTTTGCTCTATTAACATTCTGGAAACTTAAATATCTGATTTTTAATTCATAATCTTTAGTTTTATATAAATATTCTGGAAACTTAAGTTTTATTTTCTAGCCCAGAACCTTCCGTCTACAAATAATATATTCCGGAAACTTAAGTTTTTAAGTCAAGTTATTTTTACTCTATTAATATTTCCGGAAAACTAAATATTTGAGTTTCAATTCATAATCTTAAGTTTTTTATAAATATTTCCGGAAACTCAAGTTTTCGGGTCTCCAGACAATGTTATTAATTTTTTCCGGAAACTTAAGTTTTAAGTTTAGTTCCCACCTTGTTCATCTCTCTCCTTTCCAATAGGAATTGGAATTATTTGTTGACACTCATTTTCAATTTTAATTAATTCTAATTGTAGTTCCAATTGTTTTCGACTTTCTTCATTATGTTTATATTCTTTAGACATTTTTTCTATTGAATAATTTAAATTTTTAATTTTTTGAATTAATTCAAGTCGTTCCCTCTCCCATTCCGCTTCCTTATTTTGATGATGTTTTTGTTCAAAAATTAATTTATTTTGTATCTGTGATATATCGGAGTGCTAAATAAATTTAAAAGCTAGATTATTCTAAATATTTTTAAAAGGAAAAAGGTAATTCCGGAAGTTATTTCCGGAAAAAATATATTTTCTTTTGTATTTTAATTAAATTAGGTAACATATTTTACGGAAACTTAAGTTTATTTTATTTTCGTAAACTTAAGTTTTCTTTCAAAAGTTTATATTTTCCGGAAACTTAAGTGTGTGCGAATTATATATTTATTGCTCTTCCGGAAAGATATACTTTTGTTGATTATTCTTTGTAATTAAATTATGCTTTCCGGAAACTTAAGTTTATAATCTAACTTTTTTTATTTCCGGAACTTAAGTTTATAGTCTAACTTATTTTGTTTCCGGAAACTTAAGTTTATAATCTATCTTCTTATATTTTCCGGAAACTTAAGTGTGTGCAATTATTTATTTATTGCTTTTCCGGAAAAATATATTTCTGTTGATTATTTTTTGTAATTAAATTATTCTTTCCGGAAACTTAAGTTTATAATCTAACTTATTTTGTTTCCGGAAACTTAAGTTTCATAATTAACTGCAATATCATTTATTTATTATTTTTTCCGGAAGATTAAAGAAGTTTTAATATTTTTACAAATTCTACCTTCTCCCTACCAAATTCCACTTCTTCCATTACACCCTTATCCCTTTCATTATTCATTTTAAAATTATTATTAGTAGCTATATTTAATTCAATTTCAGCATATTTTAATTTTCTTCTCAATCTTTTTATTTCCTCCTTATTTTCTCTAATTTCATTTTCCTTCACTTCTACCTCATTATTTAATTTTTCAAAAAAATTTTCGTCCCTTTTCTCAATTCTTTTTAATTTATTTTTTAATTTATAAATTTCCAAATCTTTTATATTTAATTGTTGGGCTAATGTAAATACTAATTGAGCTATTTGGTTATTATTTGAATTATTTGTTGTTGTATTGTTGTTACTCACATTAACCCCATATTGTTGTAGTAACCTTTGTTCTATTAAATGTTGCTTATGTGAGAGGGTAGGAGAGTAATTAATTAATGATTCTGATGGTTCTGAAATTTTTAAAAAATTATTTTTAATTAAAAAAACTGCAAGCTTTAAGGGAGAATAGGAGAAATTAAAGAAAAAAGTCCGCAAAATATTTGCGGACAAAAATTTGATCCGCAAAAAATTTGCGGACAAAAATTTTATCCGCAAAAAATATGCGGACAAAAATTTAAAAATCCGGAAAAAATTTGCGGACAAAAATTTTGATCCGCAAAAAATATGCGGACAAAAATTTATGATTTTTTAAATTTATTATTAACCTCCAAGGTCTTTCCTAATCCTCCCAAAATAAGCACGCTTCCCCTCCGCTATTAGCTGCATCTCTGTTGGAAATAAACTTGTACAAGTATTATTACAACATTCAAACAATCCATTACTACAACCAATAATTCCTTGAGTAGAGGATGAGGAGGAAGGTGTAGGACAACAAATTTTTTGAGTAAATGAGGACGATTTTCTTTGAATTGTTTCTGTTGAAGCTGGATTTGTAAGGGTGTTTTTACGTTGTTTAATATTTAAAGAGGATTTTTGAAGTTGGTCACAAAGTTGGGAATCATAAGAGGTCGATTGAGTTATATTTTCGTTTTTGGAAGAGGATGAGGACTATTGAAAAAATAATTAAAAATTAAGTTTACAAACTTAAAATCAATTAAGTTTACGAACCTTTTTAAAGAATCTGCTCTTCATAATTGTAGTAAATAAAACTTGAGAGTTGTAAAAAAAGTTCTTACAATTATAACTTGTATAATTCAAGTTCTATAAAGTTTTTAAGTTTACAAACTTAAGTTTTAAGTTTTTTTAATACCTAATTCAAGTTCTAAAGTGTTTTTAAGTTTGCAAACTTAAGTTTAAGTATTATAAATTAAAGTTTTAGTTTTACAAATGTTGATATTTTAAGTTTTACAATAATTGTAAAAATATTTTAATAGCTGCAAATAACAAAAAATATTTAATAAATTTGTAGTAATTATAGTACTAAAAGCAGGGAGGGGAAAAATGAATATAAATATTTGTAGTTATTTTTTAGTCACGTGAACTATAAAATTATTAGTTTACTTCGATGTATCATTCCATTTATTTTTTGTAATTTTTTAAAAAATTATAGTTTGTTATTTTAATTTTATCTAACAAATTTTATCTATTAATATTTTTTATCTGTCGTGAGGGTTTGAATTTAACGGTGTTTGGGGTATTATTTTATTTGATTTGTAAAACCTGAGACGCAAAGCTACTAAACAAAACCAATTTTATTCAAGTGCCGCGCTTTAAAGAAAATTGGTCAATTGGATTGGGAGGGAAATTTATGGCAATGCCGAAGAAAGATGGGAAAAATAAAAAGAAAATAGAAGCAAAAATAATAAAATAAAAAATTTGTTTAGAGGGTCTATCGCAACATTAATTAGCAAGGAACAATTTAAAAATAAAAATCCGCAAAATATTGCGGACATAAAATTTTTGATTTTAGTCAATTTAAGCTAAATTAAGATTGTGGAGGGTATAGGGCACTCAAGTCTGGCGCCGAGCACTGACGAAAGTCGGAAAATAACTACCACCCCTTGGGTAAAAAAGCTTTATCCTCTTTCTAAGGGTACCCAGTTGCTTCAGAAGATAAAGAGTTCGGGCCTAGTTACCAAACTTGTGACTCTTAATCTTACAGACATAATTTACTATTGTGCCAGCCACTCCAGCCGACTTATAGGACTTAAGCTGGGCCGGTCAATTCCATATTTTTATCAATTATAGAAGGAAAACTAGCCTTTAATTTAATAAAAATAAGCATTAATTTAATCAAAAGTCAATGGGAAATTTTTTTATTTAGGGAAATATCCTTCCTAGAAAATATCCTTTATTGAAGAATAAAATATCCCTCCAGAAAGCAGATGTATAGAATATTTAAGCATATTTTATATATTCACACATTTGTGTTGTGTGAGCAAATACCGTATTTCCTGAAATAGTACTCCCCCCTAAATTAGCACTCCCCCCTTAAATAGTACTCCCCTTTGGAGGAGGGTTGAAAAATAGTACTCCCCCCTGAATTAGTACTCCCCCTAAAATAGTACTCCCCCCAAAAATATTTTTCCTCTATACATATTTAAAAAAATAATACGAGACATTGAATTATTTTATTTATTCTAAGTATCGTTGTCGGTTTCACTTGATTCTTTGATAAACAAAACCTGAGAGCTTTCGGTTAACCGAAAACGAATCGAAATTTTAAACTAAAATTTTTCGAGGATTAAAGAGATATAATCCGATTAATTGGTGGAGTAAAAGTGGATTTTGGGTATATAAAGGGATTGATATCGGGTGTAAAATGGGTTCTGTATTAATCAAGTGGCATTTAAAAGACATCATTGGATTAAGGTTTGATATAGGAATTTGAGGGAATAATGAAGGGGGAGTAATATTAGGCGATTTTGGTTGATTAAGAGCGATTAAGCGATAAGTTGAATCATAAATCCTTCTTAATCAACTAATATCGGAAGTACAAAAGGGATGTGGAGGATATCGGTGTTTAATATGATAAATAACTAGACAGAGATTAGGTAATCCCTAGACACATGGGTTTAGTTGACCCTGATAAATCTTAGACCCGAAAATCCCCTTATATCCCTCGATATCACTCCAAATTCACTTATATCCTTTTTGATTTCCCTCAATAACCCGTATTTTAAGTCACTTGTGTTTAATTGTCTCGCAATTTGCTCAATTTTATACTAATTCGGATATTTTCTACAACTTTTATTAAAGAAATTTTTTGAAAATCAGGGTCCGGATCCGGCATTTTTCAAATAGCGAACTCTAATCGAATTTATTTTGAGATAAATTGAAATAAATTAAAATATTTTTTTTAATTTTGAAATAAATTTTCCTATGAAAAATCATGGAGGATGGTTGAAAAATAATACTCCCCCCTGAATTAGCACTCCCCCCTTAAATAGTACTCCCCTTTGGAGGAGGGTTGAAAAATAGTACTCCCGGGAGTACTATTTTAGGAAATACGGTATATATCAAATTTCACTTTTTTCTTGGAAAATGAGGATATATTGGGGAGAATGGCTTTAAAAAAATTTTATTTAAATATTTCATGATTTATATGGAGGCAATTTAATTAATAGCAGTTAAAAACCAAAATGCCTGCGGATATCCGCCTGTATCCGTCTGTACCGGCGTAAATATTCGGATACGAATACCAAAATCAGTATCCGTGACCAGGTCTGTTCTGTAGTCATATAAGTAAATTCAAGACCCATAAATTTAATAACTAAGCCCGGACCAATATTTTAATTTTCTGAGGCAACTAGGCTGTCTTATAAATTGAAACAGCCCAAATTACTGATTTAACTTGGAACCAAAATGACAGAATTTTTAATAAACATTGAAAAATTAATTTTAAAAATAAAAAACGGGCAGGATTTGTTATTCTACGTAATGGCACAGACAAATAAAAATAAAATAAATTCACATAAAGTGTGGCGTATGCCCATACAAAGCTAGTAACACAAATTATTCTCTCTCATCTCCTATTACTATAATATAACTCTCACTAATCCCGTTCTTGGGAAAGTTGGGCATTCTTGGCCTTAACTTAAGCTAATTTATTTTTGTCAAATAGAAATGTGTTCCTCTCTCTCGGCCGTTTCATCCTCTTTTGGGGCCAGCTGCACATCTCAAATAAGAGGCCTATTAGAGTTTTGTTGAATTCTATGGGAGGGAGGAACTTGGGAAGGATAAGCTAATACCAAGAGAATTAAATATAGAAGGGATGTGTCGAGTTAAGAAAAAAGTCGGGTTGAGTTTCGAGTCGAAAGAAGTCCGGGTTTAGGGTAATTTCTGCTTTCTGCTTCAAACATGGATTACCACGGATATTCTGTCAACTTAATTTAACAATAAATTTGAAAAAATATTTAAAAAAGTTTATTCATTATAAGAGTGTAATAATAAGTTTAACTGTTTCCTTTATTCAATTATTAATTTTGTTTTATCCGTTGGTTTATTCTTTCTCCTAAATTTATTTTTTAAATTAATTTTTCTAAAAATTAATTTATTTTGCTTTACATTTTTCCAATCCATCTAACAATTTCGACAGGAATGGGCAAAACAATTGTTTGATTCTTCTCAGCACTAATTGCTTTCAACGTTTGTAGCATTGCCAAATGAATAGCTGAGGGAGATTGAGAAATTAGTTCCGCGGCTTGGTACAAAGCTCTGGAAGATAATTCTTCTCCTTCCGCGGCTATTACTTTGGCGCGCGCTTCGCGTGTTGCTTCTGCTTCAGTAGCCATCGCTCTCTAATAATTATATAATAATTAATTTCAGTATTAATGTCAGTATTAATATCAGTATTATTATAGGAATTAAATCGTAATTAATTTCAAAATTATTATCAGTATATCAGAATTGTGATTTAATCTCATTACCAATTCTGATCAGAATTATTATTTAGAGAAATAAGAAAATAATTTTTTAAAGCACCTGAAGTTGATATGGCAGTCTGACATCCTTAATCTCAACTCTCTCTACTTTTACACCCCTTAATTTTCTAAAAATTAATTTTAAATTAAAATTATTGCCATGGGTAGGTTGCTTCATCTAGTGTTTCCTAAAAATATTTTCTTTAATTTTTAAAATTATTAAAATTTTTTCTTAATTAATTTCTTAAATTATACCTGAATTTGAAGGCTAATTTGTTCTCTATCGCTAAATATTTTTAAAATTTAATTTTGGGCGACTATTTCAATTTAACTCCAATAATCCTACCTAAGCATTTCAGCCAAAGTTTTAGTTCCAAGAACATTTCTAAGGGTTGTTTGAGCTAATAATTTAGTAGAACGACTAGAATCTTCCACATTAGTGACAGAAATTGTAGCATTAGAAATTCTAAAGTAAACAACTACATCTACCGCCACCGTTACTGCGTCTCTTGAAAGAATCTTGAATTTATCGGAAGGATTTCAGGATTAAAAAAAATTTTTTTAAACCTCTTGGGGTTGTACATCGAATGTTAATACTCTATAGAATAATTATTGAAAGCAAATAAAAATTTAAAAAATACCTAAGATCCACAATTCGAAAATTGTCAATGCAAGGGTTAATAAAGAAAAGGCCTAGGGAAAGGTTAATAATATATAATAAGTCAAAGATTCCAACCTGGCCCTCTGGCACCGCCAGGAATTAGCCTTCCCAAACGGAAAATAACAGCACGTTCATATTCCTTTACAATTTTAATACAAAAGAAAACTGAAATCGGTGCGGTCAACAATAAGAAGATTGTAGACATTATAGTAAGCATGTAACCACAGAATCCAAGATTTCCGGTAACCGGTTCTAAATGTAAAAAGAAATTTGAATATAAAGCATTTTTTAAACACTAAAATAAAAAGCTCTTTAAACACACGGTTGATTCAACCTATTAGCTAAGCTACTATTCAAAAAATAAAAAAGAAGCTCTTCAAACACAAGTTCGATTCGACCTATTAGCTAAGCTACTATTTAAACTTGACAAAAATTGAAAATAAACACGACAATAAACTTAAAAATTAACTTGAATATACAACTTAAGATTACAAAAAAGATTCTTAAGACTATAATAATAAAAAATAAAATTATTACGGTCAGCAAAGAAAATAGCTTCATGAACACCCGGATGTCTCGATGGCTGTGTTTTCCATCTTGCTACAGAAGATTTATGAAGTAAAGGTGGAGGTGATTTTGCAGAATGATGCAGTAAAGGGATTCTTTGTTGTTGATGGATCCTTGAAGTTGTAATGTCTCTAAATGAATGGCGACGTTGATGGAGGAAAGAGTGATGGGAAGAGGATTTGGATTGACTACCAAGAGCTACAGGGTGCATTGGCATCATGTTGCTAAATGGCTCCCATTCGACTGATGCAGCACCAAAAATCTTAAACACGGATCTATTTACATATTAACTACATATATTTTATTAATTAATTAATTACATATATATAATTATTATATTACCATTTCATTAAGTTAATTCTGTTTGCAGAACGAAGGAATTATATTATTCCTGAAATAAGTCTGTATTTAAACTTAAATTTAAACCTTAATTTGCAAACTTAAGTAAAATAAAAATAAAACTTGTTTCTCTCAAAAATCATAAACTTAGGTTTTTTACTATACTCTCACACACTTTATAATCTAAATTTAATTTTAAAAGGGATATGAGAAAATTTTGTTAGTTTTTTACTAAATTTCCCATACATTAGGTTTACACCTACTAATTGTATTTTTCTTCATTTTAGTCTCAAACATTTCTTGGATATTTTTTAATATCGTACTAACGAGATTAATAAAATTATTTAACTCTAGACGAGCTTTTTAAACGCATGGTGGATTTGACCTATTAGCGAAGCTACTATTTGTGACTCTAAAGTGACCTAATCCATGCTTTAAAAATTTTCAGCAGAATTAAAGGAGTGTAGGAAGAGCTTTTAACAAAGGTTATAAAGGAATGCTAAAAAGGAAAATAAAGAAATTTTTTATTAAATAAAGGATAAAACAAGCTTCTCCTCATAATAAACCATTTTTAGACATTTTTCTCACCCATCACATCTTATTTTTCTTCTTATTCTTCTTGCAATTTGGCCAATTTAGGAAAGTAAAAAGTGCAAAAAATGTACTTACAAGTAGCAGTAAATTTTATAATTAAATGAAGTTGATTGATGAAGAAAGAAAAATAATAAAAAAAAGAATGGACAATTTCCTAAATTTAAACAATGGAAAATTGGAAATAAAGAAAATTCATTTTTATTCATTAAATAATTTATATGTTTTTCAAAAAATATTTAAGTTTGAATTATCTCAAATAATCCATCTTCTGTTCAAGTATTCAACACGGAGGTAATTCGTCAGCAGCAACAAGTTGATCCCAGGTTTCTTGAAGACAAGCATCAGGTTTTACTTCAGGTAAGCAAATGCTCTGTAAAATAAAATAAGGAAGCTTTTTAAACACGAGGTGGATTCGACCTATTAGCCAAGCTACTATTTAGACTATTTAAAAAATGAAAAGGAGCTTTTTAAACGCGAGGTGGATTCGACCTATTAGCCAAGCTACTATTTAAAAAATAACAAAGGAGCTTTTTAAACACGAGGTGGATTCGACCTATTAGCCAAGCTACTATAGAAAAAATAACGGAGCTTTTTAAACACCAAGTGGATTCGACATGTTAGCTAAGCTACTATTTAAACTTTTAAAGATAGAATTAAAACCGTGTGCATGCCTTCCTCCTTTTCCCCAACACAAGCTTGCCAATTACAAAGACCCAAATATTTTGGTGGAAGTGCACAATAGGCAGTTTCAATTAATAAGATGCAAATAAGACAAATAAAAATTGGACGAAGCATTATTTGAAAGAAAATATGTAATTTTTTAAATTCTGAAAATAAAATCTTAAAAACTACAAAAGGAGCTTTTTAAAAGGTAAGTAGATTTAAATGATTAGATGAGCTACTACTAGATATCAATTTTTTAATAGTCCTTTAATAATGTTGAAATTAATTATTTACTAATACTCGCGTTTAATAGAAAATATTTATCATATACACCCTAGCAGTTGAACAAATAAAAAATAATAATTCTTTACTGCATGAGATAACGCGTTTACTATTAACGCTATAAAAAAGGAGTTAGAGTCAGAGTATAGCCTAGTTAATCCCTTATAACTCGAGAAATTTTAAACATTTTGAGCTGCTTTTGGTATTGTTTGATAGATAATTAAATTTGCCATAAATTTAAATTCAAGATTGAATTATAACATAACTTATAACGACGACAGAAATAGAAATGTTCCTTCCTTTTCAGGTTTAATTACCCAAGTTTAAGATTTCAGATAAAATTATTTAAATACGCCGAAATGGCACCAGCAAAATCTGAATTACAACAAATAATCGATAAATTGGCTGCCTTAGAATTAAAAATCGATAACAACAACACAAAATTTTCTTCATTTTCTAATGAAATTCTTCAAATTAAAAATGCCTTAACAACTATTGAATCTAAAATTCAAACAATTGAAACAACAATAGAAACAAATTTTAAAAACAACGAGTCAGCAGCAAGCGAACAAGAACGCAACCGTTCAATTGTTATGATTGGTCTACAAGAATCTAAATCAACAACACCATCAATTCGTGTTGTTGAAGATAAAGCAGCAATTGAAGATGTACTCAACTTGTTGGGGGTTGAGAGCCCATTCATTTCGTATAGAATGGGTAAGTATGACCCAACTGCTAAAGGTTGTCGTTTAGTTAAAATTGTCTTTGGGGCTTCAAAATTTCAGCGAATTTCTCTTGCTGAATGGAAACGACACAGAGTGGAAATGAAAAAAGAAAATAAATGGTCTCGTTTGTTGCTCAGGCCAAGTCTTACTCGAGAACAATTGGAAGCTGAAAAAAATGAACGTGCTAAGAAACGAGATGAATACAATAAAAAGATGAGTGTCAATGTGACAGAAAGAACAAAAAACCATTAAATGGTCGTCCAAGATTCAAGGTTTTAAAAAATTTTTTAAAGAGTTCCCCTTTTTATAAATGTCTTTATTTTAATAGCCGGAGCTTAGTTAACAAATTAGATTCCTTAAGATTACTTTTAATTTCCAAATTCTTTAAAATAATCTGTATTTCCGAATCGTGGTTGAACAAAAAAATCGATAACTCCCAAATTTTACATACCACATCTTATTCCATTATTAGATGCGATAGAGGTTCTAGGGGCGGTGGTGCTTGTATTTTAGTAGACAATATAATTCCTTTCTCTCCCGTTAAAATCCCTAAAAATAAAAATTCCGACATTGTAGCTATAGACATATTTTCTCCCAAATTCGACAAATTTCGAATAATAACTGTTTACCGTCCTACCACAAACGAAAACTTTAATGACTTCCAAGAATTTCTTGAGACATTAAGTTACTTAATATCCATTAATCATAACTACATAATTGTAGGTGATTTTAATTTCCCCAACCTAGTCTGGCAGACAAATATACCTATAGCTCTCAACCACAAATCACCGTCTGAAAAATTATTTATCGAATTTGTAGAAAACTATAACCTATTTCAAGAAATCTCTTCCCCAACCAGAAAAGATAATTATCTTGATTTACTTTTTTCCTCTTCTGCCTCTCGCGTTGCAAAAAATATTACCATTAACGCCCCCTTCAAAAATTCTGATCATAACACTATTGAATTTAGTTTAAATTTCAAATATTTCCCAAAAGAACCAGAATTCATCCTTGACTTCCACAATGCCGATTACAATCATATTAACAATATCCTAATTGGTTTAAACTGGAATACTTTGTTTTTAAATTGCACTGATGTAGATTCCCAATACACCTTATTTTTAGAAATCATTCATCAAATAATCCAAAACTTCATACCATTAAAAAAGATCAATAAAGATTGTTCTAAATTCCCTAATCATATTCAAAAAATGATCTCATATAAAAATCTTTTATGGAAAAATATTAATAAACCTGCTATCCGTGAAAAATACATTCTCACGCAACAAAAAATCGATAAAGAAATTTCTCGTTTCTTTAAAAACAGAGAAATCTCGAAATTCAACGATCTACGATCTAGATTTCAGTATATAGGGGCCTTCCTTAATTCCAAAAAAACTAAAATCCCAATCTTCAACATCAACGATCAATTTACCATTTCAGACAAAGATAAAGCCGAATGTCTGGCAAAACAATTTCAATCTGTTTTTAACTCTTCTAACTTTGACTCCTCTGACATAAAAACTTCTAACAAAAATAATTTATCTTTTATTGATATCAATCCAGAGGAAATCTACAGCATCATAAACAAACTTGACAATGTTAATAACATATCCCCAGACGGAATCCCCAACATTTTCTTAAAAAATACAGCAATCTCATTAACCACTCCACTAACAATTATATTCAATATGTCAATTATGACAAGTAAAATTCCAACCATTTGGAAAAAGTCAATAATCCGCCCTATTCCTAAAAATAGTAACCCTAATGAACCTAAAGATTTTCGACCTATTTCTCTTCTATGCCCAACTTCTAAAATTCTAGAACGAATTATCTCTAATAAATTAACCTCATTTCTTGAAACTAACAATTACCTTCCCACTTGCCAACATGGTTTCCGTAAAAACCATTCAGTTATAACTCAACTCCTAGAAACCTATAACGACTACACATTAGCTATTGAAAATAAGAAATGTGTTGACGTTATATTCTTCGACCTTGCAAAAGCGTTTGATACTGTTCCCCACGATCGCCTTCTGAAAAAACTCTATCATCTAGGTATCACTGGCACCTTACTAAATTGGATTAAGGACTATCTGTTAAATCGAACATTTACAGTTCTTGTCGAATCAAAAAATTCTAATGAATATCCTATAACAAGCGGAGTCCCTCAAGGGTCCATCCTAGGCCCAATCTTATTCATCTCATATATTTCGGATATAATTGATTTTTGTAAAACAGACAAAGTTACTCCAAAACTATTTGCTGACGATTTAAAGGCCTATACCTGCTTTGACTTCCTAAACAAAAATCACTACTCTCCACTCCAAACATTTATCCAAACATTCTCAAAATACTGCGAAATAAATGGCCTTAAAATCGCTGTCAGCAAATGCAGTTCATTTCACATAGGGACTAAAAATCCCTTCCACCAATATTCTCTACAAAACATTAATATACCAACCATTCCACCCAACGAACCTATTCGCGATCTTGGCATTTATTTTACATCCAACTTAAAATGGGATTCTCACATTAAAATCACAACAAATAAAGCAACTAGAATTTATTATACTCTTATAAGATCTCTTAAAACCAACAATACTCAATTCCTAATTACTCTATTCAAAATATATGTCTTACCTATCCTCGAATTTGGATCTCCTATAATTAACCCTTATTTAAATAAAGACATAAACGCTTTAGAAAATGTGCAACATAAATTCTTAAAAATAATATACTTACGCTCTATGAAACACAATAACAGCCCAATATTACCTAATTATAAAGAACTCCTTGACATATTCAAACTTGAATCTCTATCGCATAGACGTTTAAAATCAAATCTCATCCTTTTCCATAATATTATTTTAGGTAAAATTAATCTAAAACACGATAATACATATAGCATCCTACCCACCACTACCAGAGGTAATCCGCATAATTTATTTATACCCTTTTGTTCAAGCACCATTCGGAAAAATTCATTTTTTATAGACATACCAAACATTTACAAAAAACTTCCAATAGAATTACAAAAATCGTCAATCGAATTGTTTCCAAAGCTCCTAAACAATATTAACCTAAACAATATTTTATCAAAGTCAAATTCCACTCTATTGTCTCCAGACCTTATACAAAACTTTTGATTTAAATTATATTTACATTTCATTTTATTTTTATCTGAATGTCACGTTTTTACGTATAAATTGAATTGAATTGAATTGAAAACATTTACTAAATAAATCGATGGTTTAATAGTAAACCAAATATACCCCATTTGTTTTCAAACGTACTTTACTTCTTAAGAAAACTAGTAACACAACCCATCTGACTTTGAAGAAAATGTGGTTATTTGAAAGTTATTTCAAATTAAAATTTTTTTGCTCAATAAAAATTAAATTTACAATAGGAGCTTTTTAAACACGTTCAGGATTCGCCGTATTAACCAAGCTACTATCAAAAAATTTTATTTAAAATTAATTATAATCACAATATGTGTAAAATATTTTTCTTCATCGTTATTTAATCAAATTGTTCAAAATAGTGAACAAGATTGCATCTTTGTCTTCAAATTATTATAGTCCTGTTCCGAACATTTTGCCGGAAGTGTGTCAGGCACACAGTTGACAGTGAAGGTCGGCTAAAACATTTTATTTTTCTCAGTAAATCTAATTATAAACTTAAACAGACCAAATCTTTCTTTTCCAAACAATTGCGTTCTGAATCGGACAACGGTATCGGTACTACATTAGCTCCACCAACAATAGGCGAAGGTTTTTGAGGACCTCCATTCTCATTAAAATTGTTTTGTGGTTCTCCAATGTAAAACGATTTTACAAGGACAAAAAGAAGAGTAAATTGGATAATGAATAACATAATTTTTAATAAATAGTCTGAAAATTCTTTGAGTTAAATAGAATCAAAAAACGAGCTCTTTAAACACACTCAGAATTCACCTTATTAGCAAAGCTACTTTAAAAAGTCTTATTTAAACGACTATAGTCGATTTGATTTAGAAATACGAAAATAAAATTAGCAACTAGGAATAGGAAAGTCTTTATATTGACTAATAAACATGATTAAAATGTGAGTTTCTCAATAATAAATATAGAAAAGCTAAGCTAACAGACATATTGCTTAATCCACTCCTTTATCTAAAAAATAAAAAACTGATTCTCATTCATTTTTATTTTCCTCTCAAAATGATTCATCTACTATTAAAATATGTTGAACAAACAAACTATAAGCTTATTTATTATTATTATTTTTTAGTGAAAAATTTTGAAATTTCTCTTGAGAGATGATTCAGTTAAAAGTCACAAACAAAAGTACAATTTATTTAATGTTTAATTTTTTAAAGTTAATTATAAGAAAAATGAAAAATAAAATAAAGTTCTATAGATTAGAGTGACGATAAGTAGTACAATAAGCCTTGTCATGGCAGTAATCGTGTGGGATATAAGTTCCTTCCCGTTCAAGCCGAATCCTATCAATAGGCGAATAAGGGCGATGGTGTTGTTTGACTTAAGTTTAAGCTTGAATTTTGAGAGTTTATGAAAGCATTATTTTTACCTAGCCAAAAGTGATCTTCTACGGTATCCTTTAAGTAACAAGTTTTATTAGCTATATGTTAAATTTAAGCTTACATTAGAAGCCAATGTCTGTTCGAAATAAAGGTGTGTTTTATTGTAAATATGCATTCTACTAAATCCGTAGTTTGAAGAGCGGAAAGCGCTCCTAGAAAATTTTTTTATAAAAGTTCCAGAGGATCTCATAAATTCAAAAAAAATTTTTGAGCTCACCAAGGATTAGGATCCTTCACAAAAGGGTCCGTATTCTCTTGACAACCTGCTGAGCCGCTAACAATATGTACAGGTGCCGGTGGATTAACATAAGGATTGCCTTGAATTTATGTATTTAATTCAAAAATAAAAAAGACACCAGTGCTAGTATTAAACGTTGTTCTGTTATAAACAGGAAACATCCGTTCAAATGTGTGTTCGTGTGCCCATAGCTCCAAATCTACGCCATACTTGTAGAAAAGTCTTAAGGTTTAATTTAGAAGCTAGGGGTAAGGTTAGTCAGGATATCTGGATTGATACCGGATCCGAAAAGGATATCCGGATTTATCGGTTCAGAATCGGATCCGGATATTCGAAAATTTCTCAGGATCCGCCAACCCTACCTAGAGGATTTCTTTATTTTTCAATAAATAAAAGTTTGTACTTTTCTAAAGCATAGGCATGTATTCCAGGCAGTCCTGTACGTATCTAAATTACTCAAAATATAAAATTACAATTGTACTAAAATTACAATTGAATTGTATTTTGTACAATCATCACCAGAATAGTCTTAAAATAATTATTTTTAATTTTTTAATAATCACAAAAGCTCTCAGTACCAGAACAATACATTGGTCGATGACCCATTGTAATTATCCAAGGAACCTTTTCTCTATTTTTATTGGCCTTCTAAAATTTTTTAATAATTATTCTAATACTTTCAAAAATTAATTTTAGACTTCAAGGTCTTGTATAAGCCAATGCCATTGAGTAGCTAGTTGCTGAACACCATATTGTAGAAAGAAATAAAACTCTGTGGAGAAGGCTATAAAATGAGCTGGGCCGATATCAAAACTTGAAAAATAAGTTTTACAATTTTACAGTTCTCAAATAAAGTATGTAGTAGGGAGAGGGGAGATCCAATGCTTACTAGGCGAAGGTTTAAGATACTAAATTAAAGGAAAAGGAATTACCATCACATTATGAGGTAAAGCAATAGCTATTCATCCGTATGAGGTGAATGAAAACGCCTATCAACAACTGCTAGAAGGTCGCAGGATTAATGCTTTTTAGTTAGAGAGGTAAACTGAGTGAGGAGGATCATGCATTCACTTCTCTATTCCTTTGCCTTCTGCCATCTGAGTTAATAATTTTTTTCAATTACCTATAAAACAAGTTATGTTCTGTATTTGGCATAGTAAAACGATTCACATAATGGGAGAAATTATAAGCATATTCATGATTGCCCACAACGACCATATAAGGAGCATACGCAGCAGCTGGCTCAATTTGACGCATAAATTCGTCTCCAAAATTGCCTTGATCCTTTAATTTGACATGGGGTGGATTAATTATTTATAGTTTACCGTATCTAAATTGTATGCCAAATCACCTTAATATTTTTTAAAAAAATTAAAATTATTTCCCCTCATATTATTTACATACCAACATGTAAAATCATGTCAAAATCCCCATTTTGTGCTTCTCTTTGTAATTTTCCAAGAGAACGGGCGTTTACATTACCCATATCACCGTATACCGCAAATCTTTAAGAATGAAGATTTAATTAAAATTTAGGCTAGTAGAAACCTATAGCCACCATCCGGTCTTTCCTCAAGTCCAACAAACGAAAATATAGAACTCCAGCCGTATTGAGAACCGACTCGATAGACTTTATAAAAATCAAGTTTTATTGTGAAAATGAAGTTTAAACTTAAAGTTTATAATAAAAGGTTAAAAACGTAAGCATAAACTTAAAAACTTAAGAATAAACTTAAAAACTTAAGTATCAACTTAAGTTCATGTTACTTTAAGTTTACAAACTTAAGTTTAATTTATAAACATGCAGACTTACAATAACGTATTCCTGGACTTATTCCTTCAATTAAAGCTCGATGTGTGTACCTTCTAACTTTATTAATACCCCCATCATCGAAATAATCCATCTTTGCTTCAACTCTTTTCAAATTTTGAATAGAATCAACCCAATATTCAACGATAGATTCTATTGTGTCATCAAATGTTAACCATGTAATAAATATACGGGATGGATCTCCTTTAAGTTTTGAATTAATTTTGAGTATATTATAGCTATTTTAATTACCTCCATAAGATAAATGAACTTGTTCTGGCTGTCCATAATATGGGCCTGGAAATAATATATTTAGGTATTTGATTTGTTTGCTGGATGACTTTAAGAATATAAAAATATAAAATTCAGACTTTAGTTTAGTTTAAACTTTAAGTTTACAAACTAAGTTTAAAAAAAATAAAAATTGTAACTTAAGTTCAGTTGCTTTCAAGTTTATAAAATAAAGTTTAAAAAACTTAAGTTTAGACTTTACAAACTTAAGTTTAGACTTAAAACTTAAGTTTAAGCTTCAAACTTTATCAATAAATTTAAGTAACCTTTAAGGTTGTAAATTTTGATAAACTTAAGTTTGTAAATAAAGTTTAAAATTAAGTTTGCACTTTATAATTAAGCAAGTTTTAATTTGCATACTTAAGCTTAAAAATTATTAAACTTAAAAATGTAATTATTAATTATAAACAGACGAATATAAAAATAATCGTTTATTAATTCCAAAAAAATCCCCAATTTTTAAATAAATATCCCCGACCTCTATTATTAACATTTTCTCCATCTTTAGCCTTCCAATGAACATTTCTAAAAGGATCCCGCAGAGGAACTCGATTTTTCTCTAGAGGGAATTCATTAATAATTGCTTTTGGAATAATTTTTGATTTTAAAGTTGTTTTAATAAATTCTTTGGCCAAAACATTTTTGGAAGAATAAAAGAAAATTAAATAGAAAAATAAAAGAAAAATTCTAAAATAATTCATAGTTGCCTTTTTTGGCTGAAAAAATTTTTTAAAGAAAAATATTTTATAAAAGTTTATTTGTTTGTGTATTTTTCTTATTATTATTTTTAATTCAAAAATATTTCAAGAAAATATTTTAAAAAAATATTAGGGTATAACTGTCATAGAGGAGGTTATTGTAAACGTAACTTTAGGGATATACATGGTCTATATATCATTCGAAAACTCAATTCGTATCTCTCTTGACATGTTTCAGCTTTTTTCAGAAAAATTGAAGTTTCTTAGACGCGGATAAAAAATATATGTTCGGCTATATCAAATCCGGATGCGGCTAAAAATAATTTATAAATACTTCCTCTATGACAGAACTTATGTTACACTTTAATACAAATATTCTGAAGTTTATTTTTCATTTTTGGACTTACTTTTTGGCCAGACACTTTTTTAAAAATAAAATTTAAATTTTTTTTTAGTTAAAAAATATTTTAATTTTATGCAAAACAAACAAAAGAAGTATAATATTTTAATAGTCTAGTTCTGTGGAAATGAAAAAATGAACGACTGATTATTTTTTTCTGTCCTTTTTCAAAAAATTTTGGCTTCAAAAAAATTCTTCCCTTTTAGTTTTCTTTTTAAATATTCACAGAATTTTTATTTTTCTTCATGTTTAAGCTATTTATTTTCAACGACATTAAATTGATAAAAAAATAAATTGACTATCAATTTTATGCACCATATGCTCCCTTTCTTATCAGTTTTATCTAATTTTAATTTTAGACTAAAAATAAGGAATTGATAAAAATAGAATTGAAATAAGTCTAAAAAATGCCATACGGTCACTAATAGAATGACCCCTCCATTTAAATGACCCTTTCTAATAGAATCGACCTTTGGAGGATGAATGGGTCGGAACAGTCAAAGGTGTTGGAAATCGGAAGAGCCGGTAATCGGAACTGGCTCAAAAGTCGGAACTCGGAAATCAAAATTTTTTTCGGAAATCGGATTTCCGATTCACCTCTGATAGAATCGCCGGATGAATGAAGAATAGTGACCCGTTTATTAGAATATTTCAAAAAATAAAAGTTAAAAAAAGTTCAAAATTCCGATAAATATGGATATTTATTTTAATTAATTAAACACTCAAAAAGCAACATCTTTTAAAAAACTCAATAAAAATTTAAAATTGTCTCATTTACTAAATTAGAAAACGGCAAAAGCCATAAAAGGAAAATTTATTAACTTTTTAAATTCCAAGGCAAAGGAGTTCAAATGAGAGAAAAATCGTTAAAAATGCCTCAAAACTTAGTTTAAATTATTGAAAATTTTTTTAAACCTTCAAAACTATTTAATTTCTCCTTCAAAAAACCTTAAAAAATTAAAAAAAAATTTATTTGATTTAATGCTTATTTATACATTTTTTTTATTTATTTTTCGTTACATCATTTACCTATATTTATTCTCTTCATTAAAATAACAGTCTTGTTCTCCCCATCTGATGCCACTTTAAAAAATCCTTAGCTTTTCCCTCTCTATAATATTCCCTTCATTTGTTCCCCAATATTTGCTCAAAACATTTCCCTCCAAAAATATTCAACTAGAAACACAGTCACTTTTTTAGTTTATTTTTTATTCTTTTTTTCCTCAATATTATTTTAATCTTTCCTAGAAGATCAAAATTTGGATGATCAACAGAAAAATAATTTTTATTTTGTTCCAAAAGAATAAAATTTATTATTTTTTTATTAAATTATTTAAAATGTTTCTTCAATTTCTCTCAAGTCTGAAGAGGGTAAAAACTCACAAAAGATTTATAAATCGCAATTATAAACTCATTTTAAAATTTATTATAAAGAATCGCAAACTTGAATTCTTTTATCAAGTAAGAACAGAATAAAATTCTTATATTTTACCAAACTTTTTTATTCACAAATCAGAATTAAGTTTATAAACAAGCATACAAGTTTATATATGTAAACTTAAAAGTTTAATTATAATTTAAATTTCAAGCTTGAACTTAAAATTCTAATATTTTCTTTATTTTTTTCCGGAATACAAACTTTCCGGAATTCCTTAATAAGTTTAATTACAATTTTAAGTTCAAGCTTAAACTTACAATTTTAATACATTTTTCCGGATTAAACCTTTCCGGAATTCTTCAAGCTTGCATTTTTATTTAATTACTTGACAGTTTTCCGGAAACTTAAGTTTTCTCAAAATCTTCCCTTACGCCTTGATCAATCTTTTAATTCATTAATCAATCATCTTCAACAATATTCTCTTAAATTTATTTTTTTATTTGCCCTATCAAATTTCTGTGATTGTTAAATATAAAATTCCCATCATTTCTTTTTGTTATTTTTTAAACCTTCAAAGGTAAACTTCTTTGTTTATTTAATATATCCCCCGTGGGACATCCACAAAATTCTCATTGTTGAATAAAACTCCTTTATTTCCTTCAAGTATCCCTCAAAATTTTAATTCTTTGTTAAAAAAATTTTTTTTAAATAATTTTGAACATTTTTTTAAATTTTTTTATTATGGGTTCTTTAATCAAAAAAATTTTTTTTGTGTTCATTCTTGAAGTAAAAAATTTTTTTCTTAATTTTAAACTTTCATATGCGACATAATCTCACTTTAATTGAAGTTGGATGGCTTTGTCCTGCATTATTTTCATTATTAAGAGTTTCCCCCCAAATTAATGCTGATCAAAATTCCAAAACTTTATTAAAACTTATAAATGGGTCGGATTGTAAATGGCCTAATGGTCGAAATGAGTTAATGAATGCATTAATAGAGAAGGCTACAATTAGTGGAAATTTGAATAAAGACTACGTGAGTGTGTGAAAATAAATTTAAAATATTTTCCGGAAAAATAAGAAGACAAGTTTAATCTTGAAAAATTATATTTTCTATCCGGAAAGCAAGTTATCCGGAAAACTTAAGTTTATAAAATTAGAATTGATAAAACTAGAGGACAAACTTTCCGGAAAAATAATAATTAAGTTTAATCTTCAAAAATATTATTCTTTATCCGGAAAGCAAGTTATATTTCCGGAAAACAATTTTATAAAATTAGAATTGATAAAACTTAAAATAAACTTTCCGGAAAAATAGGAAATCAAGTTTGATCTTGAAAAATATTATTTGTTTTCCGGAAAGCAAGTTATCCGGAAAACTTAATTTTATAAAATTGGAAATATAAAATTTGAAATAAACTTTTCGGAAAAATAGGAAATCAAGTTTAATCTTGACAAAAATATATTTCCGGAAACTTAAGTTTGTAAGAAAGTTTTTAAAAACTTAAAGGTTCCGGAAACATTTAGAAAATAGGTATTGATTTCTCAAGATTAAGCTTAAATTTCTTAAAGATCCAAATTTAAAAATCTCTTTAAAAGGCAGGAGAGCATTTTTTGCGGAGTAAAAAGTTGGATAAAATTGAATACCATCCAGACTTGAAGATTTCAAAGGAAGGAAATAATTTTGAAGAGGACGAAGATAATCCTCATTTGATTTGGGCAATGACTGTTATTTATTCAGTGATAGCCTTAATAGGGATTATTGGAAATATATTAGTGATTGTTGTAGTGAAGAAAGTGCCAAGCATGGTAAAAATTGTTAAGAGAATTTTCTTCAAGATTTCTTTAAGATTACACCAACCAATTGCTATTTGGTATCCCTAGCTCTATCAGATTGTCTTTTTCTTTGTGCGGCCTGGCCAGTAGAATTTAGCTATCTACATGCGGATCAGAATGATTATGCTTTCGGGGCAATTGGGTGCAAGATACTTACATTTCTTCCATATTTGGGAATTAATGCTAGTAGGTTTAAGACTAAGTAATTTGAAATTTAGAGTTTTAATCTCTAAGAGAGCATTCTAGGTTAAGATTAGGAAAGTATTCTAAAATAATATTATTGAACTTAAGTTTAGACTTAAAATTAACATAAGTATATTTTTAAGTCTTCCGGAAGCTTAAGTTTAACCGGAATGATTGCAAAGATAATAATTTAAGTTAGGTTAAAATTAAATTCCGGTTAAACTTTAAAAAACACTCCAAAAATCAAGCCAGAATTTTTATTTCCGGAAAGATAAAAATCATATTTTTCCAGAAACAAGTTTAACCGGAATAGGATGCTACGTCAATAATTTAAGTAACCCCATTCCGGTTAAACTTAAGTTTCCGGAAAACTTTGAAAATTACTTTAGAAATCTAACCAGAATTTTTATTTCCGGAAAAACTTTCATCCTCCTTATTTTCAGGTTCAATGTCAATTATGGCTTTTACAATTGAACGATTTATTGGAATATGCTACCCCTTAAGGGCTAGGTTTTTAATCTAATTTTAAAAATTTTAGCCTTATAATTTAAAGATATATTTGTACTGTCAAAAGAGCCAAATTAATTATTCTTTTTATTTGGTGCTTTTGTATTCTTTATAATAGCCCTTGGCTTTACTTGGCTACTCTCAAACAGATTGAAGGTGTTGTAGGAGGGAGAGAATGCAGTTTTAGATTATCTAGGGATAATTGGACGTATAAGGCAATTTAATTCTTTATTCCAAATTTTTTTCCAAAATTCTTAGGTGGTATTTGTTGCCGATTTTTCTACTTTTTACATTCTGCCAATGTTTTTATATATTTATTTATATGGCAAGATAGCCTATACACTTACAAAGTGTGAATGGGTTATCGGAACGGGTAGTGCTACTAGAAATGTGAATAATAATAAAAATGATGGGAATCATAATAAAAGTATTAGTAAATTTTACAATTTTCTCCCCAAATTTTTCACACAGATTTTTCAAAATCCGTCGCTAAGAGTAGTATCAATTCTCAATCAAGTGTTAAAGGTCCAAGTAGATCCCCTATTAAATCTAATGAACCAGAATCTCAAACAAATAATATTGGGTCTTCAAGCTCTAGACGTGCTTCTACTAGTGTGAATAGTAAATTACAGGTAGGGAATATTTTTCTAAAAATTAAAAAATTTTCCAAAGATTTTCAAAAAAATTTTCCAAAATTCAAAAAAAAATTAAAAAAAAATTTTTTAATTCAAAAAATATTTCAAAAAAAATTTTCAAAAAATTTATTTCTAAAGGTAATTAAAATGCTTGCCTTAGTAGCCTTTATTTTTGCCGTTTGTTGGTTACCTTATAGGGCGATGGTTATGTACAATTCTTTTGCTTCTGCAATTAACTGGGAACCTTGGGATTATGATTGGTAAAGCATTTTTGGAGAAAAAATTTTTATTAAAAAATTAGGCTAATCTTTATGTCCAAAACAATGATTTTCTTCAATTGTGCTATCAATCCAGTTCTTTACAATTTAATGTCCAGTCGCTTCCGAAAGGCTTTTAGACAGCTACTAAGAGGGCAGAAGAGGCATATTAATGTTTATAAACGTAATTAAATTTATACAAAAATTTAAAATCTAATAAAATTTCAAGGCGGATCGTCTTATCTTCACGATCAGAATAAAAAGATTAATGGAGATGAGGCGACCGAGATGACAGCAGATATCAAGAGATTTAGCACAATAGTAACTTCGGGGAGGGAAGAGGAATGTTTAAATGGGGCATTAAATAATTAATAGAAAATCCTTAAGTTTAAGCTTGAAAGCTCCTTAAGTTGAAGCTTGAAATAAACTTTGCGGAAAGATAAGAATCAAGCTTAAACTTGAAAAAAATATTATTTTTCCGGAAAACTTAAGTTTGTAAAAACAATATTTCCGGAATTGAAAACTTAAGATTCCGGAATAAAACTTAAGAACAGAACAATGCTTTCCGGAAAGATAAGATTAAGCTTAAACTAAAAAAATTATTATGTTTCCGGAAAAGAAGTTAGCTTGAATACATATTTCAAGAAAACTTAAGTTTGTAAACACCTACATATTTCCGGAGTCGAAAACTTAAGATTCCGGAACATTTGTTTTACAAATTCTAATCTCATAAAAACTTAGTTACCGGAAACATTTAGAAAATATGGAATATTTTTTCACGTTTAAACTTAATTTTTTTAAAATTCTCGATTTAAAAATCTCTTTAAAAGGCAGGAGACTTTACAGCATTTTAGAATTCTTTTTATATTTTACAACAATAAATATACAACTATTAGCACATAGAAAAACATATATCTATTTACAAATTAATATTACAACCAATTTAATAATCACAATAGGTTTTACAATCCTTTCTCTCAATCCTTCTGGTTGTTTCTTCTTTATGATTGTTATTGTTCATCCTTCTTCCTTTTTTCTTCCTCTTTCAATGTCGACTATCCACGCCTTTCCCTTTCCCCGCCTTCTTCTTGCTTCTGTGGCTGCTCTCCTTCGGATGCTTCTTTTTGATCACGTCAATCTTGAGCAGTTCGAAATATCCGATCATCTAAAAATTAAGGAAGAATAAACTTCTTCTAGACGACTTTAAAAAATAAATTCCTTACATATCCAATCCCGACGAGTACCAGAACAGAGAGAATCTCATTCCACGACGGCATCTTCTTTCTATCGAGTAGAGGTTGCTTTGGAAAGTTGTAGTGTGTGAATTTAGAAAGGACAAAATTACGAGCTTTTTATACTAGGATTTACTCTACATTTTACCAAGCTCATTAAATTAATTTAAAAAATCGGATTTTATCTTAAATTTATCATAGAAATTTTTAAAAATATAAATATACTTAATCTTGAGGAATTCGTTAACAAAATAAGTGAAAATTATAGGATTTATAAACTCGGAAAACAGTAAATTAGTGTTAAAAATTCTCTCATTCAACTTTTATTTTTTACAATTTTTCCAATTTGTTGCGCACCTTTTTTTACTAAATCCTTGTGTTGCACTGCAAATTTAGCCACTTCGTACGTTGCTGTAAATTTATTAGATAAACGACATCTGAGAACCAGACATTTGATATCCCGACATTTGATACCCGACATTTGATATCCCGACATTTGATACCCCGACATTTGCTATCCCGACATTTGATATCATGACATTTGAGAACCCGACCTTTGCGCAAACGACAATTAGTCAAGTACTTTTGGAGATCAATATTAAAGAACTAGACACTTAGAACACGAAAATTTGATGATAATAAAGCAGGGTTCTTATCGACAAAATGCCCATCAAAAGTATAAAAATCTCGATTTAAAAGTATATAGGGAGAAAATTTGCGAAAAAAAAGTAGTCTCAAAATTAAATTAGAAAATATTTATCCGCAGGCGAAATTTTATCCGCAGGCGAAAATTTTGAGAATTTTGGGAGTCCTTAAGCCAGATTTCTTTTATTTCTTGCGCCGCAGGCGAAAAATATTGAGAATTTTGTGGGTCCTTAAGCCAGATTTTTTCCATTTTTTGCGCCGCAGGCGAAAATTTTTTGAAAATTGGACCCTAGAAGCTAAATTCTTTCCTTTTTCAGCGCCGCAGGCGAAAATTTTGAGAATTTCGAAGGCCGTATGCCAAAAAATTCAATTTTTTGCCCAATGTCTTCCCAAATTTCATTTTCAATCCAAAATGTTGATTTAAAAGTAGATACTTTCAAAAAAGTATAAATTCAATTTCGTAAGCATGGAGGTCGATTTAAAAGTAGAATACTTTTAAAAAAGTATAAATGAGAACCCTGTAATAAAGCATACCCAACAAAGGCAATCCACCAACCCCCAACATGATAGAAGCCCCAGCTGCATCAGCAACTGTAGTGGCTGCCTTTTTCGTTGCATCAATGGCAAATTTTTTAACTGGATTTTTTTCCACAGATTTTTTTGATTTTTCTTTGGGTTTTGTTTTCCCTTTCTTTTTATTATTTCCAATTTTTTTGCTTATTGTTTTTCCTTTAGTTTCATGAATTTTTTTGGTTACATCATTTTTCTTTTTATTCTGTCCTTTTACGGCCTTTCCTGAACATTCTAGCAATAATTCGATAATTAAAAATAATATCAAAATTTTTAAAATTGTAGAGGTTCTCATTAAGTTTAAGAAGTGGATCTGGTCATTTGGGAGAATTTTAAAAAATCTAGAATTTTTATTTAGTTTTAAAAATTTTACGTAGCATGAGTTTACCGTATTTACTAGAGTTTAAAATTTGAAAAATGCCGGATCAAGTTTCGGGGATTTAAAAAAATTTTTTATCCGGAACGGATCGAAATCCCGAAAAATTTCTGATTTTCATCAAAACACTCGAATCGGGACTACAGGGTCACGAAAATCGCGTCTCGGATCCGGTCCGAATTTAAGCTCTAGTATTTACTCAATTCCTCCATTCCCTATTATTAATTACCCCCTCAAATTAGAGGTTGAAACAAGCCAGGGTAATTATTTGAGTACTAAATATTGTAAATGTGTGAGCGCGGTTAACTTAAAGTGTGACAGTTGGTAGTGATTTTATGAAGCTGCTACAATTTTTAAAATTTTGGACCACCCATTAAATTTGTTTGGCTCCCCTTGTTTCATCATGTTTAGTGGATTTTAAAGAAGTTTTTTTCCTTACTTGCCCAATATTTCTTAATTATAAAATTTTTTTAATTCGATTTTTTCTATAGGCGAGCGTGTAATTGACAGATGGAAGCGCGCAGGCGGCGCCCCTCATTTATTAATTGATTGATTTTTTGATTTAAAATTTTTGTCTGAATATTAATGTCTTTTATTGATTTAAAAATTAAATAAAATTATTTAGATTGAAATTTATTAAAAATAAATTAAAAAATATAAATAAAATTTTCTATAATTTACTCATTTCCTCTCTCTTTTTTCTTGCTTCGCGCATTGCACTGCCCAAATATTTTTCATGGAAGGGTAAGACCTGGATTTGTAAAAAAATAATTTTACAATAGCCTAATTAAGAGTCTCTACTAGTGCTGGATATGGCTCAAGAGCTACAGCTTTTGGTTCCATAACTAGAGCCTCGGTGACAGAAACCGGCCAAGGGCGGCTGGTTTTCGGAAGCTTCTCTAGTCAGTGACCCTTCCTTCCCACATCCTTCTCTTAAAAATTTCCCTAGTATGTAGGAAAATAATTTTACAATGGCTTAATTAAGTCGCTAGTAGTGCTGGGTATGGCACTAGAGCTACAGCTTTTTGGTTCGATAACTAGAGCTTCGGTGACGGAAACCGACCAAGAGCGGACGGTTTCCGGAAGCTCCTTTAATCAGTGTCCCTTACTTCCCCGTCCTTCTCTTTAAAATTTCCCCTATAATTTAAAAGAACCCTTACATCATGCTCATTCAAAGGCGATTTCTTTGCCCATTCAAGCAAATTTTCATAAACTTGGCCATCCTTCCTTCCAAGTACTGAACGTAATTCTCTGTCTGTAAAATCAAAAGAATCCACTAAAGCTACTGAATTGGGGCGGATTTTGGCCAAGCTAGTAAACAATTTTTTGCGAATAATACTCATTTGATGAGAAGAAAGAAAGCCTTCCTAAAGTAAAAATAGGATTTATGTAATTTTGAATTTTAAAATAACGCGAGATTCAAGGATACGACATTTGAGAACTCGACATTTGGTAACCCGACATTAGTGGACACCGACATGTGATAACCTGCCTTTGAGAACCTGATATTTGAAAACACCGAATTAAAACAATAATCCGACATACGAGATCACGACTTTAGGAACCCGATATCCAAGGACCCGACATTCGGTAAGGACCCAACTTATCAAATGTCGAAGGACCGAAGAACACCCTTTCGAGAAACCGATATTGAGGACCTGACATTTGAGATCCCTGCATGTGATACCCCGACATTCGATACTTCGACATAGGAGAACCCGACGTTCGAGGACCCATCAATACTATTTTATCTTGCAACCTCAAGTAGACCAACAGAAGAATGCACCAATTCATACGTAAGATAAAGCCATAAAATATCCTCCATTACATGCCTAACAGCAATATCCTCAATTTTTGGAATTGTCTCGATAAATATTCTAACCATAAATGTTTGTGTATGCGCTTTCGAAGCCTTTAATATTTTTTGTTTAAAATAGGATTTAACCAACATGACATAGGTGTACTCCAGCCTCATTCCAAGCTTCTTCAGCTGACCTTCCTAATTTTTTCTGTTGCTGAATATACTCAAAAGCTGATAAAATTAGACGACGAGAATTGTGTTCAAAAGCCGCCAAGTAGTCCAAAACCTAAAAAGATTATTTTTAATTTCCCTTCGCCCAATATGGATTTTGTTCCTTTCACCCTGTATCTACTAATATTTATGTTCCCTTCACCCCATAACAATGTTCCCTTCACCCTATAGCCATGTAACCTTAACCCCATAACAATGTTCCCTTTGCCCTATAGCAGTGTTCCCTTCACAACCATAACAATGTTCCCTTCACCCTATAGTCATGTTCCTCTCACTCTATAATCTATGTATTCTTCACACCTTACATTAGAATTTTCATTTATTTGACTAGAACCAGTAGGCTTTCTAAAAATATATCCAGTAATCGGATTCTTCATCTTCCCTTCATTTTCCTTCATCTTCTCTATAGAATCAGTAGCACAACTACATTCTGCTGCTACCTTCATTAAAGATCTAGCTGTTTGTAGCAACATAACTATATTTTCTCCTTCATAAGTCAAGCCTTTTTAAATTGAAAAAATTATTTGAACAGCAAAAATTTCTTTACTTCCAGCAACCATCGTATAAATTGAAGGGAGTCCACTAGCATCAGAATAGCCATGCCCCCCACAAGCCAGTCTACATTGCTCTACCCCTCGGGTTATTTGCCAGCTTGTTAATGCTTTCAATCCTGATCCTAAACTGTGGAGATCGGCTAGTAATGAGACATCTCCAGCATTAATATCTCCAATTACAGTGTGATAAAGTTGGTTAATATAGAGTCCGGTAAATGCAATGGCATAAACATGGGCAAGGACTGGTAAAAGCCGGTATTGTTGTGTTTTGTAATCGAGGACTTTTACTTCTCCGGCACTAAAATAAAAGCTGCTATCTTGATAATTAAATTAGACAGATAAGTGCTAGCCTTTGGAGGCCCCATTGGTGATTTTTGGGGGCAAAATTGGCTTTAGGATTTGGGGCCTTACTGGTGGTCTTATTGCCACTTAGGTGGCAGGGAGCATGAATTTCGGATGCTCCATGTCGTCCTTTATACGGGATGAGCATTTAAGTCCCGTTGATAAGATATTTACCCAGGCTTAATCTCTCCTTGCCGTCTAATACAAGAATATCTGATAGCAATTGTAGCTGCCTGAGCAAGATAAATGGCATGTCCATAAATCATCATTGAACGAACATACCTATAAAATCTAAACTTTTATTCAAAAAATAGGTTCATACATCATTGAAGTATACCCAACTTTTGCATGTAAAGGAGGGACGTATTCACCAGAGGGTAGTACTTTTGCATGCTTCATTAGCATATGTCTTCTGGGGATACGGTAATTTTCAAAGCGCAAGAAGCCGTTGTCATTTGAAGGTGTCCCCAATTTGGGGCCAATATCACCGAGAGTAATGCCTTTATTTCAGGAATTAAAACCAAAATGGATTTGCAAGCTACCAGGCAAGGATCTGTGTGTCTCCAGATCACGCAGCTGTACCCAAAATGGATGTGGCCCATAACACTTTCCATTAGTCCACAATTGGGCAATTACAACTGCATAATTGACAGACTTCCCCAAGGCTCCAGGCCACCACTTGGTTGCGGTAATTGTGGGGGTATTTAAAATAAATTGTTCAGTTGAAGGGTCATAAGTTGCTGTTGTCTCTAATGCACGCAGATTTGTTCCTATTTTTATGAGGAAGATTTTTCAAAAAAATTTTCAAAAATTCTTTTACCATGCCCCATTTCTGTTTGGGCATAAGTCGCAATTAATTCTCTATTTAACAACTTTGGAAGCCATTCAGTTGCTTGGTCATCGTCACAGCTATTAATCATTGCTGGTACTGCCATTATTAGGTGCAAGTGAAAGGGGGAGCCGTTAAACCCGCAGATTAGGCTGAAACAAGGGAATAATACAAACAAAAGATCAGAGTGTTCAGCTTGATTATGTCGAGTACTTATATGTCCTTTCTCAAAGGTCGACTTAATAAATGCCCTGACCTTGAATGTCGTATTAGCAAAGGTCGGGTCCTCAGTTTTTTACTACCGTATTTCCTCCATTAGAATGCCCCCTCTATAAGAATACCCCTTTGGAAGGTGATTAAAAAATAGAATGCCCCGGCATTCTATTAGAGGATATAAGGTATATAGGGTTCTTAGATATTGAATAGACTCTCTCTATAACTTTACCTGTTAAAATAAAATTGTTCTTCCGGTTTGAAAACGTCAATCACCTTCTCCGCGTGATTAGCCATTGCTACTGACTAGATTAAATTTTTATTTTTTTAAATTTTCCAAGTATTCCTTACAAGTCTAGACACATCCTCCATTTGTTCCATTCTAGTCATAAAAACTTCGGGCACCCTTGGGCGTAATTCTGCCCCCTGTGCCTCCACATAGGACAAAATTTCTTTTCGTCTTTGTAGCTGGCCTTGCCAAAAGAAATTTCCAAGTTTGAAAGGGTCAAAGGTTGCTTTATTTCGTTCTTCTGCCAAGTCTGGATTTACATTTAAATTATTATTGTCTTCTTTTTTAATAATCATAATTTAAAGAAGGATGTCTGAAGATCTCCTTCTTAAAAGATCTCCTTACAATAATGTTTTCCGGAAAGTATAAGGGGTAGTTAATGGATATATTGAGGTTTCTAAGGAAAATACAAGAATAATAAATTAAAAATATAAAATTTATGAATAGTCAGTCCACATTTTTATCGGTCGTTGGCTGAAGAGTAAGAGGAGAGTTTAAGTGAATCGATTGTCTACGGGTAACCTTGACTTTTATTTTTTTGAGTGCATTTGCAATATTTTATTGAAAATACATAATAAAAATACCTAAAATTTGGATTATGGATCAAGGAAAAATCAAGTTCTGAATCCAGATGACTTATTTGGATATACTATAGCTCATTCGAAACTACATTAAAAACAGTCTATAAAACTTGTTCTAAGCGGATTCTACAGTAACCCTATCTATTTGAGAAAATTTTTAAAAAAAATTTTTTGAATATTTTTTGGGACATGGAAGACTCAGAGGGGTGTTTCTCCGCGAATACATGACTTATTTGGATATACTATAGCTCATTCGAAACTACATTAAAAACAGTCTATAAAACTTGTTCTAAGCGGATTCTACAGTAACCCTATCTATTTGAGAAAATTTTTGAAAAAATTTTTTTGAATATTTTTTGGGACATGGAAGACTCAGAGGGGTGTTTCTCCGCGAATACATGACTTATTTGGATATACTATAGCTCATTCGAAACTACATTAAAAACAGTCTATAAAACTTGTTCTAAGCGGATTCTACAGTAACCCTATCTATTTGAGAAAATTTTTGAAAAAATTTTTTTGAATATTTTTTGGGACATGGAAGACTCAGAGGGGTGTTTCTCCGCGAATACATGACTTATTTGGATATACTATAGCTCATTCGAAACTACATTAAAAACAGTCTATAAAACTTGTTCTAAGCGGATTCTACAGTAACCCTATCTATTTGAGAAAATTTTTGAAAAAATTTTTTTGAATATTTTTTGGGACATGGAAGACTCAGAAGGGTGTTTCTCCGCGAATACATGACTTATTTGGATATACTATAGCTCATTCGAAACTACATTAAAAACAGTCTATAAAACTTGTTCTAAGCGGATTCTACAGTAACCCTATCTATTTGAGAAAATTTTTGAAAAAATTTTTTTGAATATTTTTTGGGACATGGAAGACTCAGAGGGGTGTTTCTCCGCGAATACATGACTTATTTGGATATACTATAGCTCATTCGAAACTACATTAAAAACAGTCTATAAAACTTGTTCTAAGCGGATTCTACAGTAACCCTATCTATTTGAGAAAATTTTTGAAAAAATTTTTTTGAATATTTTTTGGGACATGGAAGACTCAGAGGGGTGTTTCTCCGCGAATACATGACTTATTTGGATATACTATAGCTCATTCGAAACTACATTAAAAACAGTCTATAAAACTTGTTCTAAGCGGATTCTACAGTAACCCTATCTATTTGAGAAAATTTTTGAAAAAATTTTTTTGAATATTTTTTGGGACATGGAAGACTCAGAGGGGTGTTTCTCCGCGAATACATGACTTATTTGGATATACTATAGCTCATTCGAAACTACATTAAAAACAGTCTATAAAACTTGTTCTAAGCGGATTCTACAGTAACCCTATCTATTTGAGAAAATTTTTGAAAAAATTTTTTTGAATATTTTTTGGGACATGGAAGACTCAGAGGGGTGTTTCTCCGCGAATACATGACTTATTTGGATATACTATAGCTCATTCGAAACTACATTAAAAACAGTCTATAAAACTTGTTCTAAGCGGATTCTACAGTAACCCTATCTATTTGAGAAAATTTTTGAAAAAATTTTTTTGAATATTTTTTGGGACATGGAAGACTCAGAGGGGTGTTTCTCCGCGAATACATGACTTATTTGGATATACTATAGCTCATTCGAAACTACATTAAAAACAGTCTATAAAACTTGTTCTAAGCGGATTCTACAGTAACCCTATCTATTTGAGAAAATTTTTGAAAAAATTTTTTTGAATATTTTTTGGGACATGGAAGACTCAGAAGGGTGTTTCTCCGCGAATACATGACTTATTTGGATATACTATAGCTCATTCGAAACTACATTAAAAACAGTCTATAAAACTTGTTCTAAGCGGATTCTACAGTAACCCTATCTATTTGAGAAAATTTTTGAAAAAATTTTTTTGAATATTTTTTGGGACATGGAAGACTCAGAGGGGTGTTTCTCCGCGAATACATGACTTATTTGGATATACTATAGCTCATTCGAAACTACATTAAAAACAGTCTATAAAACTTGTTCTAAGCGGATTCTACAGTAACCCTATCTATTTGAGAAAATTTTTGAAAAAATTTTTTTGAATATTTTTTGGGACATGGAAGACTCAGAGGGGTGTTTCTCCGCGAATACATGACTTATTTGGATATACTATAGCTCATTCGAAACTACATTAAAAACAGTCTATAAAACTTGTTCTAAGCGGATTCTACAGTAACCCTATCTATTTGAGAAAATTTTTGAAAAAATTTTTTTGAATATTTTTTGGGACATGGAAGACTCAGAGGGGTGTTTCTCCGCGAATACATGACTTATTTGGATATACTATAGCTCATTCGAAACTACATTAAAAACAGTCTATAAAACTTGTTCTAAGCGGATTCTACAGTAACCCTATCTATTTGAGAAAATTTTTGAAAAAATTTTTTTGAATATTTTTTGGGACATGGAAGACTCAGAAGGGTGTTTCTCCGCGAATACATGACTTATTTGGATATACTATAGCTCATTCGAAACTACATTAAAAACAGTCTATAAAACTTGTTCTAAGCGGATTCTACAGTAACCCTATCTATTTGAGAAAATTTTTGAAAAAATTTTTTTGAATATTTTTTGGGACATGGAAGACTCAGAGGGGTGTTTCTCCGCGAATACATGACTTATTTGGATATACTATAGCTCATTCGAAACTACATTAAAAACAGTCTATAAAACTTGTTCTAAGCGGATTCTACAGTAACCCTATCTATTTGAGAAAATTTTTGAAAAAATTTTTTTGAATATTTTTTGGGACATGGAAGACTCAGAGGGGTGTTTCTCCGCGAATACATGACTTATTTGGATATACTATAGCTCATTCGAAACTACATTAAAAACAGTCTATAAAACTTGTTCTAAGCGGATTCTACAGTAACCCTATCTATTTGAAAAAATTTTTTTGAATATTTTTTGGGACATGGAAGACTCAGAAGGGTGTTTCTCCGCGAATACACGACTTATTTGGATATACTATAGCTCATTCGAAACTACATTAAAAACAGTCTATAAAACTTGTTCTAAGCGGATTCTACAGTAACCCTATCTATTTGAGAAAATTTAAAAAAAAAATTTTTTGAATATTTTTTGGGACATGGAAGACTCAGAGGGGTGTTTCTCCGCGAATACATGACTTATTTGGATATACTATAGCTCATTCGAAACTACATTAAAAACAGTCTATAAAACTTGTTCTAAGCGGATTCTACAGTAACCCTATCTATTTGAGAAAATTTTTGAAAAAATTTTTTTGAATATTTTTTGGGACATGGAAGACTCAGAAGGGTGTTTCTCCGCGAATACATGACTTATTTGGATATACTATAGCTCATTCGAAACTACATTAAAAACAGTCTATAAAACTTGTTCTAAGCGGATTCTACAGTAACCCTATCTATTTGAGAAAATTTTTGAAAAAATTTTTTTGAATATTTTTTGGGACATGGAAGACTCAGAGGGGTGTTTCTCCGCGAATACATGACTTATTTGGATATACTATAGCTCATTCGAAACTACATTAAAAACAGTCTATAAAACTTGTTCTAAGCGGATTCTACAGTAACCCTATCTATTTGAGAAAATTTTTGAAAAGATTTTTTTGAATATTTTTTGGGACATGGAAGACTCAGAGGGGTGTTTCTCCGCGAATACATGACTTATTTGGATATACTATAGCTCATTCGAAACTACATTAAAAACAGTCTATAAAACTTGTTCTAAGCGGATTCTACAGTAACCCTATCTATTTGAGAAAATTTTTTAAAAAAATTTTTTGAATATTTTTTGGGACATGGAAGACTCAGAGGGGTGTTTCTCCGCGAATACATGACTTATTTGGATATACTATAGCTCATTCGAAACTACATTAAAAACAGTCTATAAAACTTGTTCTAAGCGGATTCTACAGTAACCCTATCTATATGAGAAAATTTTTGAAAAAATTTTTTTGAATATTTTTTGGGACATGGAAGACTCAGAGGGGTGTTTCTCCGCGAATACATGACTTATTTGGATATACTATAGCTCATTCGAAACTACATTAAAAACAGTCTATAAAACTTGTTCTAAGCGGATTCTACAGTAACACTATCTATTTGAGAAAATTTTTAAATAAAATTTTTTGAATATTTTTTGGGAAATGGAAGACTCAGAAGGGTGTTTCTCCGCGAATACATGACTTATTTGGATATACTATAGCTCATTCGAAACTACATTAAAAACAGTCTATAAAACTTGTTCTAAGCGGATTCTACAGTAACCCTATCTATTTGAGAAAATTTTTAAATAAAATTTTTTGAATATTTTTTGGGACATGGAAGACTCAGAAGGGTGTTTCTCCGCGAATACATGACTTATTTGGATATACTATAGCTCATTCGAAACTACATTAAAAACAGTCTATAAAACTTGTTCTAAGCGGATTCTACAGTAACCCTATCTATATGAGAAAATTTTTGAAAAAATTTTTTTGAATATTTTTTGGGACATGGAAGACTCAGAGGGGTGTTTCTCCGCGAATACATGACTTATTTGGATATACTATAGCTCATTCGAAACTACATTAAAAACAGTCTATAAAACTTGTTCTAAGCGGATTCTACAGTAACCCTATCTATTTGAGAAAATTTTTTAAAAAAATTTTTTGAATATTTTTTGGGACATGGAAGACTCAGAGG